TCCGTCCGACACTGCTGTATGGAGTCTTAGTGTGGTGGCAAGCCATGTAAAATAAAACATTCAACAAGCTTATGGAGAGTTCAGGACCATTCTCAATACCTCAAAATATATACCAACGGTTCCAAGATGAAAGGATTAGTTGCAGCAGGCATATACTGTACATACCCTAAAATGAGGCTGTCGTATAAACCACCAAGCCATTGCAGCATATTCCAAGCAGAAGTCTTCGCCATCAGAAAGACGGCTAAGCTTCCGCAGAGAATTGATTAGATCTATGCAATCGTCAGCGGCCAGTTCTAAAAATGTACGGGCAAGCAAGGACGCACTAGATGTCCAAAGCACGCCGTCAGTGCAGATCTATTGGGTTCCCACCCACCAGGGCATCAATGGCAACGAGACCGCGGACTGCCGAGTGACAGAATATAAAACGTACCTTCTCTCTAAGAACGCTCTAAAGCGAGTTGTAAAGCCCCATGAGGGCCGTCCGGTTCAACCTAACTTAACATGCAACGCAGTGAAGAATTTATTTCCGACCATAAAGTACATATATTCTTTATCAGCATCAACAGCAGAGTCGATCTAACCATTTTTTTTGTGGGTAATTTGGTGTAAGAAGTGGCAGGGAGTTTAAACAGTGTTTAATAAATCTACCTCCTTGGAAGGTCCGAGAGATTAATACTTTTGAGTCTTCGCCGAAATGAGTGTCTTCCGGCAAGGATATTTGCGTTTGAAGTAAGCTTTTTCATATAGTGTTTGGCTTGTTAATTGATAATATCCCCAATCAGTGTTATGGATGAAGCACTAAGCATTAGTAATTCTCCGCAGGAACTTCTTTTATTAATTAACGGCTTGAGCTTGCAAAGTAGCCCTGCATGCCACACCCTATCAAATGCTGGCAGTATGTCTAGATAGGCAGCCACTACGACTTGCTCAATTGCTATATACCGAACCCAAATTCAAATTTGGGAAGAGCGTTCATTGTCTGCCGGGACTGATGTAATCTCCTAAGGATGCATCTTATCAGAAGCTTACCAAATGTGGAAAGGAGGCTAATAGGCCGATAACTGCTGAGGTCCTCAGGTGGTTTAACAGGTTTAAGGATCGTTACACTGCAAGCACTCTTCCAAGCCTTTGGAAAATAGCTCAACCTAAGGGAAGCATTAAAGATGAGTACAGGGTATAGCAGTGCTCCAAGAGGCAGAGTTTTTGCAACACGATTGCCAATTTGATCCTCTTAAGGGGATTTCTAGGTATTTAGCTTTTTAACGTCATCATTAACCTTCAGCAGGGTTACAGGTAGCACAGGGCGTTCCATTTGGTATGTCATGGCAAGCTTGTCAGCCACTATCTATTCTCTCCGGGCAGAGGCCGTTCTGAAGGGAGTAAATCTACCTTCCAGCTTTTGGGCAGAAGCTTCAACTCTGTCTTGTGTGGATCTGGCCCATGTGCTCTCCTCCTTCTTGATAGGAAACTTGGGAGAAGCTTGCTTTTTATAGGATCTAGTCAGCTTCCACAGAGAATAGTTGGAGCTGACACGTTGTCCAGCATATGATCCGTGGGTTCACCCTTGAGTAATGCCATTAATCTGTTTGAGATCCTCCTAAACAACCATTATATCCTTATGTCGGATGTGCGGATATACTTACGCCTCAACCTCTTCTTCAGCAGCAGCAATCACTCTACTTCAGAAGAGAGCGCATAAAGACGCCTTGCCGTAAGAGAGCTTGGAGACACCGGTGGGGCCTTAACAGCAGCAGCCTCCCCAATCCTTGTAAGGAGGATTTCGATGGATTTTGGAAGGCAGAAAGACAAAATTCTGGTTTCGTCCCCGATGGAGAGTAATTGAAATCGATTTGTAGATAAAAAAAATCAATGCAGGACAGGGTGGGCCCAGAGCACGTAGGGATTTAAGTTGCTAGAATTTGTGCCGAAGACTTCATTATAGCATCATGTAGAGCGCTCCCTCTACCGTCGGCTATGTAGTTACCCCAAAGTCGATATGTTGCGTTGAAATCCCCGCCTAGAATGAACGAGACTATGACGGTAGCTAGTTGAATTTTCTAATTCCTAACAACATGAAGGTGGTAATAGGAAATTCCTTTTGTGATTAGATTGGCTAAACCACCACTTCGAGTATTGCTGGGGTGGTCAGCTCTCAGGCATTCGAAAACTGCAAGAGTAAAGCTGATACCAGGACGTAAATATATCAACGAAATTAACATGACGTCAATTTTATGGTGTTGGGTAAATATAAGCAGCTCATTCACATTTGATGCCAGGCAGTGGCCGTTCCAAAATCTAATGCCGAGGTCATTAGTCAAAAGGGGCTCTAACTGGGAACTGTCACAGAGGTCACAGAGGTTAGGAAACTCCGTAACATAGTTGCATTCCGGAAAAAAAGGTGACGAGTCCATTTGAGGAATAGGGTTACCACGTTGCCCACGTTCAATTTTCAGAAATATACAGGACAAGCTCGATCCTAGGCCGCGTGATTACCCAGGCACTTTACACAAACAAGGTAATTAATGGTCTTCGCCAAGCACAGAATAGAGCCGGAAGGATATTTGAGTGAACAATCTCTCTTTTTCTTGAGTGGTTGAAGTCAAAACACCTAAAACACTGCCTTGGAGTCTTGTTTTTCCGGGGTACTTTAAATGACACCCTCATTCGTCCAACTCTAGAAATCTTCAAGACATCCCTGTTGTTAGGAGCAGGGGACAGGCTTAGAAACCACACATTCTGTTTAGGCTGGGCAATAATTTTCTTAACTGGAGGAGGAAGCCTTGACTTCATCTGGCACATATTGACAACAGAGTGGTCTGCTTTTTATACTCTTGTACAATCGTATCAACAGAGGTGGAGGCTGCTAGATTACGTACCACTATGCGGGACGTTTTATCCTCGTCCAAGCAAAAATGGGTATACTGAACATGATTAGCGTTTAACAGCTTTATGTTTATGGCGGTGGGTGTCAGATTCCTTTGCGTAAATTTGGACATCCCCAGCAGGAGGCAATCGAAATTCATAATCATCAGATGGAATAGGGGGGGATAGAAAGGCTTCTAAGAAATTAAAATCTATATCTAAAGGAAAATGCCAAACTGTGAATTTAAAACTTTAACTGTTCAACTGTAAATATAAGATTAGAGGTGGCTGTATCGAATCTAGTAATTACTTCGTTCTTTTTTAACACAAATATATATAATTTATTTTGTATTAATTCTTAATGGTCGAATTGCAATCTGCAAGGGTTTACATTGCCAAGTAAATAAAGAATACTCTTTTTCTTGTATCAGAATTAATATTAAACTTTATTGAGGTTAATTTGCATCTATTACATATTGTTTGTGATACGATAGCGTATACAATATATACAATATAAATCAATCAACATTATTATTATGTATCATATTTTGTTGTTTGATAAATTAAATTATATCTTAAAAACTTAGTTTTATATTGAAAGCACTTTTCGAATCGAACTGCACACACACATACCTAAACAAATTAAAATTACAACTTGAGATATAAACTAAATAACAAAGGCAAATTAAATCCGTTTTAGGGAACATTTATTCTATTTATTAGTAACTGAAAATTTGCTACCTCTAAGAATATTAATATTTTCAACTTCAGATTACAACAATGTCCTCTAAACGCCTATGATTGCAAAACTAAATAATATTACATTATATTTAGATACCGGAAAAATATAGGTTCTAAAGTTCTGGGTCTCCCAATTTATATATATTTTCATATTATTTATTATTTGCAGCCATTTATTTTCATTTAATAGTTATTCTCCTAAAGTTGCCTTAAAATTAAAAAAGAACATTTCAGAAATTGTACAGATACAAAGTAATATTTTGAAACAGTGTCGTAAACAGCGCTTAAAATGCTACCATAATCTGCAGTACCTTGTGTTGATCTCGATATTGCTTTCACACATTACAAAGCAGTAGCAGAGCGGAATCCAAAGAATAAGAAGCATTTTGTTTGAACTCGTAGTTTTATAGCCTAATTTTGTATAGCAGATGCGAAAAACTGATGGCAAGATGAGAGCAGGGGATACAATAGGATCGGAGCTGTTTTCTAATTATTCAAGTAAAATCAGAGACATAATAGACATTGGAGTTGTTATAAAATGTGTTGCTCAACAGCTGCCAATCAAAATTGCTTCCTATTTGGGTAATGCGGAGAACGAAAACTATTTGCATCTATCTATTCAAGCTTCCGACCTATTAAACTTAATTTGGGTGTGTCCATGTTACTTATTTCACCTGTTATGGTACCGGGTATCCCACAGTCGGCCACACTCAACTGCAGCTTTTCCACTTGTTATTAAAAAATTCCCTTTTATTCCTGCTCTCGGTTTTCAGCCCAACGAACCTGTACTATAACAAATGAACGCACTAAGCACGAGCAGAGCAGAGCGAATGCTCTGCGAAAAGTGAGAGCAGCAGTAGCAAGGGCTTAGCAATATTTGTGTGGATTTGGCTGCTACAGAGTAGAATATGCGAAGGCTGGACGTAAATACATATATGAGGGGTCTCATGTGTTTTTCAGGGAGGAAAATACTATTTTCAAAAAAGTTAAAAAAAATAAATAAATAACAAAATAATAAATAAAATTATTACTTATTTCAAAGCTTTTATTGTTTTAAAAAAACACCATGAATGAAGGATAACGGACAATAACCTCTTAATAAGATAATCACAAGTGAAATTAAAACAATATCAGCTTTATTCAGATTTTAGACTGATAGAGGTAAAGGCCAAAAAAGAAAATGGTAATTTGCAATTTTATAAAGATCCCTTTGGTACTTTGTATAATCGTAACAATCGACTTAAAACCATATTTAAGAAAAAAATGCAGTCAACATTTGTTACGCCGAGAATTCAATTTCTTTTGAGAATATTTCCAATAGTATTAATCGGATCAACTTCAGTAAGTTGTGCTACTATTTTTTAGGGGACGTAAAATAAAAAAAATAAATAAGATTAAATAGCCCGAAACATCCTTTTATTAAACCGTTAAGCCCCTTGTAATCCCTTAAATAGAGCAAATTATTATGTCGGAATTCTGGTATCTCTCCGTTAATGGGATTATTAACCCTGCTCCGATTATCGTTAAAATCTGTTTAATATAGATAGCACTGCATTCAGAAATTGAAAGTAGGATTTCTCAGAAAGCGGATACTTATGGAACATCAGGCTTTGCGAGAAACCGTTGTCTTTTACCCTTTATAAATCAATAAACTAAATGTAAGAAGTTAAGATTAGGATCTCTCTTTACTCAGCCGATTTGAATTGATAAATATCACAACCCTTTTAGCGATAACCGAAGCATGGCTGTGAATTGCAATTATTGTTGATTATGGCGATTATTCTAGGTTATTATGCCTATAACGTCGTAGTCGGGCGCTATTTTCAATTTTCGGATCCCCTGGTGGCGGTGAAATGTTACATTCCGTTGAATATTTATCGGTCGTTCGCATATTGTTGGATTTTTGTTCATTTTTCTCTAGCATCGATCCAAAATCGTCGTCGTTTACAAATGTTCCATTATCATCAAAGTCGCCTCCTCCCAACATTGAGTTGGGAATGCCACGAGTTCTTTAAAGATATGTTCCGCAACAAAATGAAGAGTGCTGTTTAGGATAATAAATTATTAAACATACCGACTGGATGTCCGGGACCGGGGTCTTTGAAATCTTAATTGCAGCTGAGTTGGATCAGTAACATACTTCCCTTCCGTGGATTCTCGGCGTCGACGAAGTCCTAAAGTAACCATAGGTAAGAAATTGTATTAAGAAAGGATTTAATACCGCTCATTAACACTCAGTATCTTGATATATTTTATTATTATTTTTTTTTAAATCATTATTCTATTGCTGAATCTTTTATATTAGACTCTATTGTTTTTTCCAATCGAGAAGGGTTTGAAGTAAGGAGAGAGAAAAACTGTTTCAGGCTTTTAAAACGGGTACGGTAATACTTTGTCCTCTTCGTATGAGTCAAGGAACCATTTTCCAGGCTTTTTTGATGCAAATTTCGATGGCATTTGAATCGGACATGGATTCCGTAATCAATTCAATCAAAATATATTTCAGATAAATGCTTTTCATTTTTGTTTTAATATTTTTCAGTAAAAAAAGCTGTTGAAAACCTAACCTAGCCTAATCTTGAGCCTAGTACTAACATAACATTATATATTAATTTAGATTGCTGATTTTCTAAGGTGAATAAATAAATTTCATTGAGCGCTTTTTTAGTCGGCAAGCTATATAGTGTTATAATTTTAGTCAGAAGTTTGCAACGCAGTGAATGATATATTTCTGACCCAGTAAAGATTATATATCCTTGATCAGCATCAACAGCAGATTCGATCTAGGCTGTTTGTCTGTTGAATTTGCCATATACAGACCAAAAAACTGTACAATTTTTTTGACAAATGTTATTAATGACTGAATTTCTAAAATAATACAAAATAGCTATATCTCATATACGACAAAAATATGTTGGCAACTAAAGAAAGTTATAAATTGTTCGGTCACACTGGTTTCAGAATAAAATATATAGCAACTTCGCTCACAACATTTTCAAGCTGATTTACGTTATGTTATTACTAGGCCTAACTGATTAATCCTGTTTATAACATAGGAAGGTATCAAAAGGATGGTGCATTTAAATGCTCTCATTCTCTTTCTTACACACACACACGCACTACTTATTAATAAATTTTGCATAATCCAACAAACCTGGTGTTAGATCCGTAATATTAGAAGAATTCTCTATAGATTTCGAGTGTAAAGTTTTGCGAGAAGGTATAACAGTATCCATTACAATCGCATTTGTGTTTGTATTCTGAGGCGTGTTTGTTTCCAATGTAGTACCAACTCCTCCCGCAGACTCACCACCTGCCCACGAAGCACACTTGGATTGCCGAACAGGAATTTTGCTGGGGGTACCAATAGTGGTAATATGGTTAAATCCGTGGCCAAATTTTGTCTGATCACCGTCTGATCAGTGGTTTCGATACTGTTGCCATTCACAGAATGAGTTTCGTTAGGTGTCTTTGCTATGGTTGTGGGAATTGGATGCGTCGTGACGTAATTATGAACTATACTCGCGGGTGAAGCTACAATAAGTGCAGCAGCATTTGCTTCTGATGTTTCATCACAGTAATTTGGGGGCCTTTCGGTGAGTTGCTCTTCATTTCCTTGATATTCGCTTGCAGGATTATTTTTAACGGCCGCCGCCAAGGCATCATAATAGATTGAATCATCCAAATGTGATTTTTCTGAAGAGAAACAAATATTTACTGTATGAATGCAGAAAAATATTGTTATATCGGAACCAAATCGATATTTAAAGCGAAAATTGATATTAAAGTCGATAACGTAGCGTGCGATGAATTTATATCCAACCAAATATATCGGACTTATACAATCAGATAACAAGAAATGAAGCTAACTTCGGCACGCAGGGGTTAGTATAAAAAATACTAAATTTTGACCGAAATTCTAGTATAATACGAAATGGCTACATTTTCAATTTGATAAAAATATGTTGAAAACTATAAAAGTTATACTTTTTAATTGTATTAACTTCTCGATCGTCCCTATGGCAGTTATTTGATATATATTTAATTTTTAAACAAAGTTTTACTAAATAAAATAACTAAATCTCAAATTTGATTAAAATCTGTTGAAAACAGGAAAAGGTATAATTATTTTTTTAATTTTCCGATCATTCCTAAGTCAGTTATTTGATATAGTCGTTCGATAAAAAAAAATTAAAACCGAAATTCTAAAATATTACAAAACTGATATATTTCAAGTTATATGCAAATCTTTTGGAAACTGAAAAATGTATTTTTTTTTTCAATTTTCCGATCGTTCCGATGTTCCTATGGTAACATAAAGTCGTTCGATTAAAAAAAAATAAAACAAAAATTCTAAAATAATATAAAACTGTTATATTTTATTTCAATTATATGCATATCTGTTATATATATCTGGAAATTTTATATTTTTTTAAATTTTCTGATCGTTCCTATGGCAGAAATATAATATAGTCGTTCGATTAGAAACAAATTTTTAGTTATTACAAAACTGTTATATTTCAAATTAAATGCAAATCTGTTGAAAACGGAAAAAGTTATAATTTCAAAACTGAGAGACAAATTTGCGTAGAAACGGACAGACCGACATGGCTTTATCGAATCGGCTGTTGATGCTGATCAAGAATATATATACTTTTTATGGTCGGAGATGACTCCTTCAGTGCTTTTCAAACTTCTAACTGAAATTATAATACCCGGTAAGGATATAAATATTATGGTTTCCAAAGATATTGATAATTTGGTATTATTTGATTTTGATACATCAAAGATGATGTTTTCAATACGTTAATTCACGATATTTGCGAGACTTAAATTCTAGATATATTAATACAATATATTATATATATATATTAATATATAATGTTAAGCACAACATTTTCTTACTAAATAATAATAATAATGTATTTACATCTCTATTGTTTTTTATATTATTCGATATTTTTTTCTTTAAATTTGATTTACCTTTTGGAATAACACGAATCTCTAGGCGACCACTGATACAACCATTAATGTCCTGAATTGGAGCAGCGTTTACATTTTTTCGCTGGCAGGAATCTTTGGCCTGTGCACACCACGGTTTGGTCGCATCTTCTTCCGCTGCATTTGAGTTATGATCGTCGAAAGTATCGGCGATAACCGATACATTTGGAAGGCTGTTTCGGTGTTTCGACCTAGTTTTCTGACTCTCGTTCGATATATTTGATTGAAACACCGAGTCCTCTTTAAAAGACGAAGGTTGAATAGAAGTCCTTAAAACAACAGAAGGTGAGGGTTTTGCATTATTGTCGAGCAATGCAATTTCCGAATAAGTTTCTCTGACGCAAACATTTCTGGCTATGTCCATTCGATAAACCTATAGAATTTATATAATAAAATTACACATAGTTTTCACCAAGTCCTAAAGATGCATAAAATGTCTTCGAAAACATTACAAAAACATATACATATAGGTTATAATTAATTTCTATAAATGTTTAAAGCTATGCTTACTGTATCATCAAATGCTGCTTGCTGTACAGCTGGTGGCTCCAAGTCTTTACGCAATACATTACCAATGGCTGGCTCCGACCAACAGTTTGGTATCGAAATTCGTAACGCCTCGTAGTTCTCGATTCCGGTTATGTTCAGCATATATCTAAAAATGGAGGAAATTCCATAAGAGGTATTATTAAAATCTGCGTTTGCAATTTTCCTATTTACAATAAAATATTTTTTTAGTATTCTTGAAAAGATTGCTAACAGTTAGCAATAATAGTTAAACAACGGAATCGAATTTGTTACAGGGCCTGTTCCTATGGGAGCTATATGATATAGTAGTCCGATCTGACTGAAATTATAATAGCCTCCACGGATATAAATATCTGAGAGCTCCAGACGCAAGGTGGGACGAACTAAAGTATAAAACTGTTGAATTTCTTCGAAGGCAGTTTAATATATCCAAACACACCCCTCGCTTTTTTGATCATGCTCGCTATATATGATCGATAAAGTCAAGGATCCAAGCGAACTCCCATTAGCTTGCATTTAGAGCAGTTAAAGTCTAATAAGATTACGCGGCACCATGTTTTGAAATTATTCAAATCTGTTTGTAAATCCGACTTACACTTAAGAACTCTGGAGTTAGTCAGAACTTTGTTCAAAGACGAACCCACATGGCTCCCTTGAGGGCCACGAAAAGTAGCCCTGAATACATTAGATAGGGTATTTTTAAAACAGACCTTTTGCGTCCTGCCAGCCAGATAACTTCAGATCAACTTAAAATTCCATTATATTGAGTTTCCTAACAGAAAGATAATAGTTAACAGACCCAAATGCTTTATTAAAAAAGTATAAAAGTTTCCTTTTAAATAAGGGAAAAGGAGAGGATTCTAAGGATAGGGTAAAACACTGAAACAAAACATCGAAGTTTGCTTGCATCGTACTTCCATGAAAACTATCGATATATTAATCGATTAAGAATTTGTTTATCGTTGCCGCCTTCAGGCAGCTACTGGGGTCAGTTATTATTTTCCCAGCTGTAATTGCTATCGCTTCTTTGGTGCTACCCAAATCATCAAACCGCTTGCAAACTATCACTAATTTTTTGGTACCTTACCCAATATTCCAACTATAAACTTTTAGGAAATATAAGCGTGGTGCGAGGCCAATTCAAAGGTTCTGCCAGAGCGCTAAAGGCCAAGATTACATAATACTAAATGTATTATAATGTATTATATTAATACGGTGCTGGTATCAACAATAAAATGCATCGTGTGTTACGAAATGTCATGTCATGCAATGTCAGATTAAAAAAAGGAATCTCTTAATAAACCATTTTGTTAGTATTATAAAAAAAGGTCTCTAAATATTTATTTTGAAAACCATGTGATCTGTAAAATAATTGATTTCTATGTTTAAGAATTTCGTTTAGTTATGTTAGAAAGTAAATTTTTGTTAATATATCTTAATTCTGTTTTATGTTATTTTATGTTTAAATGTAAATAAAAGTTTAAAAATTGAAACATAATATATTTTTTTTTATTAAAAATGTTTCAAATACTCGATTTATCGATATTTTTCGGATGAAAAATATTTGATCGATTTTATATTTAGTAATAAATTATATTCCATTGATACGGAGTTTTTTTTATACTTATTTTCATAAAAGTGTTGGGGTTATTTAAATTATTATATTTTTGAAATAAAGTTTTCAAATTTTTTAAATATAATTAAACCCTGACAGTGTTATATTATTTTAACCAAAAGTTTGCGTCGCTAATGTATAGAAAATTTAAGACGACTTCCTGCAGTATCATTCATCAGTAATTCATCAACATACACTTCGTTTAAAAATATATTTAGTTTTAAATTTTAGTTTTTCCGTTTTAATTCTACACTTTTCTTCATAATTCCACAGTTTTCCGTTTAATTTCACAGTCAGTTACACTCCGGTTTTTTAGTGAAAGATTTATGGGAGAGTCGATTTAGACTTAATTGTCGAATCAGAGCGTCGGCTCGTTGATGAAACGTTGATGAAACTTAAATGACAGTGAGCTATTAATGACATGTTGCGGTCAGGTCTTTGAATCTTTTTCCCCCATATATGTATATTTCTTTACATAGTTACTTATAACATTCATAATTTTGTAAGCGGCAAACTTAAAAAAAGAAACACGAACAAAAAATTAATTAGAACTTCTGATTTTGATATAGATGAATGCCATAAATCTATTATTATCTATTATAAAATTAAACGAAAAGAAAAAACTGAAAGTACCGTGAGCGAATATCCAAGTTTTACTGAGTTTATAGCCTCTTTTCAGTTTTTATGAACAGATTATACTTTCCGCTTACCTTTTCGCCTTGTCTTTTCCATTTCTTTGGGTCTTGGTTGATTTTACTGTATCAGCGACGACGGCCATTTTCACTGGCTTATTAGCAATGGGTAATGATATATCCGCTTTGTTCAATTGCTCGAAATTGGGTTGAAACTGAGAGGCGAAATGTACAATACTTAGCAAGTGTTTATTCTCAAAGGTTTAAAGTTAATTCAGTAAATATTGTAAGGGTTAACAGTTAAGAAGAAGACATTTTATGCATTTTTTTAAATTAGCCCGAGTGGTAAATTTTAAAAACAATTTACAACTCAATAGCACAGTCTACATACCTGCGGCTCTCTATTCCATTCGTTATCGGTAGTATCCTCTGAATCATCGAATTGACTTTTCCATTGGGAGGCCAGTGTAACGGCACCGCCTTTAGTAACCTGCTGCAATGCCGACACATTCTCGTCATCGATTAATGCAAACTGGGTTACTGAATGATCACGGTCGCCGGTTAAGCTGCTTCTGCCAGTGTTGCCACCTCCTGTTGGCGTTGATCCACTGTTTATCCTTTGAATTGAACTCGGGGTGGTTGTTGTTCCGGTACCGCCCGAAGAGGATGGCCTCAGGTTGGTGGATGTGATGGAACGACGATTAACTGGTGGCATGTTGGCTATATTAAACATTTGACCGTGCAAATTGAGGGCAAATTTAGAAGACGAACTGTTTCCACTGCCAGAAAAGTTTCCAGCTGTAAACGGCGCAATCTGTTCCTGTTTTACTGATGGCAGATCGATGGATCCTTGTTGATTCACCGTCAATTCATGGACACTCATTGGCGGTGCTGTAAGAACACGAAGACGACCAAATGTGGCCGATTTTATTGGTTCATCCGTTGATCGCTTCTGAATTTCATTGGATTTCTCATTCAATTTCTGTGTTTGCTTTTCTGCATTTCCCGATTTAATTTGTGATTGTAATTTCTGAATCTGCTGTTGCACTTCGACTGTTTCCACATTTTTTTGTCATTCGTAATGCCATTGTCTTCGGTGTCAGCTTTGCTTTCGTCGCAGTTCGTTGCATTCTTTGGCAAAAGATTTGCTAAAGCTTTCTCCTCGGATTGTGGATACTGTAATTATATTTGTAGTGGAAAAAGTAATAATTTTAAATAGTAGAGAGAATAGAGAATAGTTCTGTTTGCTCCATTCGTCAAAATATATCTTTTTTACATTTCTACGTTCCTATTTTAGTCGAACAGCAATCCAAAAAATTGTCAATTGCGACATTGGCAAACAAAGTAAATTTATGAAAAATGTTCTATCGCTAGCGTTCAAATTATTGTCTTCTATTGAAAGTCAATTGAACTCCTAAAAACTGAAACCGGTGGTTCAATGTCGGTTGAATTTTTAGATTGTTTAAAACGAATAAGAAAGTAAAAGTAACTTTAAAGATTTTCAATATCTTTTAATTTTTTTTTCTATTTGACTGAATGACTAAAAATTTCGGCAGATAAAAACAACTAGCTAAATACAGGTGTTTTTTTTTTAACTTTATAAAGTCATATTAAGATGAAGTAGAACGGATTGGATTTTGCGCTCATATTAATTATTTATTAATTTAACCTCTTCTTGCCGGCTTGGAAAGCTCTGCATGCAAGCAATTTTTATATTTTGTAAATTTCCCTCCGTCCTGGCTTTTAAAATATAAACGAATTATTTATTTCGCTTGGAAAATCGAGTTTTGCCGCTTGAAGAATATATATTGTGTTAGTACTAGGCTTGACAGCCTACGACAAGCCCATTTTAATTTTATCAGTAATTCGAATGGACTGTCATTGATAATTTCTGAACAAAAGTAACATATTTGTTGATGAACGGTACGGCAAGGTAATTCAATTATATCCACCTATACATATTTATTTACAGCTTTACATTCATAGATTTGCATTGTTGTTGTTTTAAAACTGAGTGAATAAATTGCGTAAAAACAAAAAAGCGGACATTTTTAGAACAGCTTCTCCAGATTATATTTTTTTTTTATTTAAAAACATAACTGAGGTTTTCTTTTTAATATTTTAATATTTTTTAATATTTTAGGATTTTGGTTTTAATACTATGAAAATCGGACGACTATATCATAAAGCTGCCAGAGAAACGATCGTTAAATGTACAGGAAAATTCAGAACTCTGAATGTAAACATACCGGAAGTAGACATAAAATCATTGTTTTTAACATAAATGCATATGATTTACATTTTAGTTATTTTTAATGATCGGCAGGCCGAAGTAAGCTTCCTTGCTGGAGTCATTGTCACTTCTGGCGACCCTACTCGTTGTGCTGTCAACGCGATGACACACAGAAAAACCGCGAGCAAACATTAAATGCTGATATAAATTTCGAGAAATTTGTCTTATAAGCAGCAGTTTCATTTAGGACACTTACAGAATTTCCATAAACCGGCGCAGAATTATTTTGATTTGTCATTGAAAACGAGCCAGTGCCGACACCGACTCCGTGTAACTGGTTGCCTTTTGATTGGAAAACTGGTTGTGGAACATTATGACTTTCTCCCAAGCCAATTACTGGTGTTTTAACAGCAATATTTTGAATGTTGGGATTTATGGATACGGGCGTGTTTGTGGCTACCAAATTTTTGTGTACAACATTTTGATTATTGGCACTATGCTGTTGCAAGTTAGCTTCGCCGGAAGTTTTTGGCTGTGGATTTAGTGATGTTGCATTGCAGTTTCTGTCCACCTTGAATGAGTTAAAAACAAGTTCATTAATATCATAATTATTATTAATACCATTAAAGCTATTGCTATTAATTTTCTGTCCTTACTTTTTCTTTAATATGTAAGGGCTCGGTGGCTGTAATGTGAGCTGTTTCGATTTCCCCTCGCTTTCGGACCTATGTAGTAATGGAGAGAAGATATTTGTTTAAGATGATGAAAGCACAATTAGTTAGAAAAGGTTTCGCATCGACCTCTTGATATGCACCTTTTCCTGTTATAGCCCATTTACACTAACATTAGTTATCTATCGAACACCGATGTCAAAGAGAACGCGAAAATACAACATGAACAGTTCACGGCATCACGCATGCATCAGCATGCAGTGGCTCAGTCTGCTCTTTCAGTTTTTTTTTTTTTTTAGTTTTTGGTTTTAAGGCGCCAGCACTCGTGCCAGACGGTCGAGGTTTGCGTTAAGCGATCTGGGAAGATTTAAAAACACAATGCAACTAAACTTTGGCGTCCGGTATCAGGCACATCGTCGCGATCTCGAGTTTGGAATAACAAAGTAATGCGTTTTGGGACGCAAATGCAGATCGTTTGCTCGTACATTCTGTCTGTCTCATGACGACGGCGGCGGTTGCCTTTTTTGTCTGGTCTTTCCGTTAGATCTCGCGCCCACCGTTTGTTCAGACCTACCTAAATCGAGTTTCTGCTTTTGACAACAATAAATTATTTGATTTTAACACTAAAAACGTCTGTCTGGAAGTAGGACTCCTTTCCAAAATAATTAAAAATACATTGTCGATAAACTCACATATTCAGTTCCACTTGCGTTAGATGCTGCCACAGTCATTTGTGTTATATTTCCATGCACATAATCGTTTTTAAGAGGAACCAGGGGGTTGCCTGCTGCTGTTGTTGCACTGATATTGCCGACGATGGCCGTTGAATCAACTTTTTCCCAGTCATAAGGATCTGACTCTTTGACGCCGCGCCTTTTCATACAGCGCTCAAATAATCCTATGAGCATCTAAAATAATTAATATTTGTTGTTTATTAATGATAAAATGAAAGTATGTATAACTTACCGCATAATCTGGTCGGTCGGCATAGGTTAGCGACTGTATATGCTCTAGGAATTGCTTTAGATCCGACGGTAGATGCTTCAGCAATATTCTATGATCATATTTCTCCTTCGTTAAGCCTACTTGTTCCTTATCTTTTATTTTACGCCAAGGCAACTGACCATTTACGAACTCAACGAGCATATAGAATAGGGACCATAAATCATCGTGTCGTCCCATTTCCCTATTGCGATGGGCATTGATGGAAGCATATCGAACAGTGCCACGAAAGCCAGCGGCAGCTCTAGGGCACCGAACTTCACCCGTACCCGTTGTGTATTGACGCGCCAATCCAAAGTCCAACATATAGACCCGTCGACAATTATAAGGCAATCGACCAACAGAAAAATTGCTCTAAAATAAGTAATGTGTGGAAAATATGGATATGGAATCCTTGATTCGAATAAGACCTCAAATAAATGGCTCTTTTCCTCTTATATACCCTTGCAAAGTATTACAATTGCAGTCAGAAGTTTGCAACGCAGTGAAGGAGTTCCCTCCGATCATGTATAGTATATATATTGTTGTTCAGCATCCGTCCGTTTCTACGTAAACTAGTCCCTCAGTTTTGAAGCTATCTGAATGAAACTTTGTATTTAGTCTTCTATATACTCTCACTCGTATATATGTCGGAACGGGCTGGATCGGACGACTATATCATATAGCTGTCATAGGAACAATCGGAAAATTAAAAAAAAAAAAAAATATATATATATATATATATATAATATTTTCATTTTTAATAGAATTTGATCAACTTTAAGATATATCCATTTCGTATTATTCTAAAATGTTTTGTACAATTTTATGAAAATCGGACTACTATATCATATATATATATAAATATATAATACAACTAAAAATTATGACTTTTCTAGTTTTCAGCAGATTTCCATCAAATTTTAGATATAGCCGGTTTATATTATTCTAGAATTTCAAATTTATTTTAAGAAAATCGGATGACTTAATCATATAGCTCCCGTACAAACGATCGTTAGATATAGAGGAAAATGCAAAACTACGAATGTAAAACTGTAAATAGAGTATAGGTAAATAAAATGAAGGCAGGCATTACTTTATTGCTTTTAAATATATATAATTTATATTTTATATATATTATTCATAGTGATCGAAGTTCTATCTGCAAGGGTATGTAATCTTCGGCGTGCCGAAGTTAGCTTCCTTTTTTGTATTTTATTGACATTGATATTCATTAGGAATGGGCTTACCGGCTTTATATCACGATGAAGAAATCCAACCGAATGTATCGATTCAATGGCCTTTAGAATTTGTAAGCCCAACCTAAGTGTTGTACTAAGCGAAAATGCACCACGCGGCTGAGCGCGTCGAAGCTCGGCTAGATTCTTGCCTTGCAACTGCATTACCACGTAATTGAATCGATCGTTGCGGCCGCAGCCAATAAAGCGGCAAACATGCTCCTTGCCCTGCAGCTTCTTAAGAACAGCCACTTCCATTTTGAGAACTTGCTTGGGCTGACGCGCAGACTCAACTTTAAGGGCAACCTGCTCGCGAGTAATAAGATCTTGGCCCTCGTAGATTTCACCGAAGCCGCCGCCGCCAATTTTCCGAACGACCTGCAATAGTAAAATTCATAATAAGACAAAGTATATTTTCTTTGAGATTTGGTAGAAACTTTTTTAGATGTTTTTCAAAAAAATTGCATCTAAGAGGTGTAGCAATTTTTTTATTTTTTCAGAGTTTCGGGTTTCATTTTATGAAAATCGGACGAATATAACATAAGACCTGTAACTGTAATAACGTAAATAAAGTATATATTGGCGGACGTTGTTTTTTAATTTACATTGATTATCTAATTGCAATCTGCAAGGGTATAGAAATCTCGGCGTGCCGAGGTTAGCTTCCGTTCTCGTTGTATGTATTTCCATATCTTCTTAGATAGGAAATTGTTTGATCCCATTACTAATAATAGTTGTTGTTTTATTTTAATGACTGCAGGGGCTTCGGCTTTCCAAAATTTCGTTTCTTATTATATTGGAGTTTTTGTTTACAATTGTTTATTTTTACCATTTTTACTAATGCCTATTACCTATATTACATATTCAAATGTTTTTATAATGCACTTACGAAGTTTAGTAGAAAAAAAGCCTTTAGAATAGTACGATATACATAACAACTGAGTCGTCCTTACCTTCCAACGCTCCTTCACCACATGGCCCGGCTGCAGCAGATCTTCGGAAGTCATCTTGCCGGATTCCTTTTCTTTGGCTCCACCTACGACCTTGTCGATCTTTTCAGGATTAAGATAAGGATTATGAATTGGAGGTTGAGCTGCAGGTGGTGCCGGTGACGATGGCACTTTAAAGGTGACGCGACTGCGCAAACCTAACCGATTCTGTTTCGCCGGCAAGGTGGCCGATCGTTGTAAGGCATTTGGATACCGATGCTCTTCGGTTGTTGCCTCTGCTCTATATATATTAGTCTCCTCCGCAGCCACAGGAGTTGTGTCCCCAGCGTGTTCTATCTGCTTTAGGAGACGAGACTGCAGGATGGCAGCGCCCAAAGCCGCGGGTGGCGGTGGCTTTGATGGCGGCGGTGGATGAAATCTTAATATTTTTTTTTGTAAATCCCGTCTAGAGTCTATAAAGTGCTCCTGGTTGGATGACGGATGACCCTCATCGGGCGCAGAAGCATTTTTATCGTTCCTGAAATAAAAATGCATAATTTTCAGTCAATAAAAGGATATACTAAGGTATGCACATATGTATATACATACACACATATGTACATATGTATGTTTGTTTACAAATAGATGCAGATATATGTATGTACATTACTGGGCGGTCTTATTTTCAGGTAAATATAAATATCATCCCATATTGAAGGCTGCCGAAGCCATGCTCGGCAGAGTATTATAGAAAAAACATTGCCAACGTTTAGTTGTTAATTGATTTGCAGCTGTTCTGCTTCCAATGTAATATGCAAACAGTATTGAAAACCCCTTTAAGAGTTTAGTATTTTTTTATATTTATGATTCATGGCGAGGGTAAAACTGTTTGCGAGCGCGAACGAGTATATTATTTTGAGGTGTGACCGCTCTTTTCACTAATTCTTCGCCATTTTTGGAGGGCAAATGTTGCGGTCATACTTTGTTCATCCGCTTTTTTTGAAACTTAAGACGCGTTCAACATTTCATAATTGTTTTTTTTATTAATATTCGTCCCAAAGCGATTGGCATGTATTGTAGTGGTGGCGCCTTAGAGAGCTCCCTAACGTCTTAATAATCTGTTCCAGGAGCATCGAGATCTCTCAGATTGGCAAGTCGAGCTGTTCAGCTGTCCCAATTTGTCCTTGCTGGCCTGTATCATTCTTATATATACATACATATATATTTCTCTTCAAGGTTTCCCTCTTCCCTACAAATTAATATACATTCCAGAAACCTGAAATATTTTAATTCTCTTTACTTAATTAATTATATTAACTGTATCAGCTCCTCTAAACTTCTTAATTCCCCTTTTCCGCAAAGTTTTGTTCATGGCAGGATTTATAATTAAAAAATTGTTATTATTATTATTATTATTATTATTATTTTGCAAGCCGCTAGAAAAATACTAAAGTGTGCGGTCGGGAATCTCCTAACGCCATCCAACTTTCTAGTATTTTTCATTTTATGTCTCCGTACAGGCCTTGAAAACGGCGCTGACGAACAGCCGTTTTTAATTATTTTCCTCTTGCTCTCTCTCACTGCATGAAAACGGTGTTTTACCCTCGCCATACCGTGCTTACGGTAGAACTATTTGCAGCGAAAAAAGGTAGATTTGTTTGTAGATTTGTTTTCGGAATTTTTGAAAGGCATATGATGCGGCCATATTTTGAAACCAACAATCTATTTTTGAAAATTAAGACCCGTGGAATATCTGTAGCTTGGTTTTTAAATATTTGTCCCAAAGCGTTACCTTCTTTTTTACAAACTAATTTAATTGCCAATATCACAAAACATTGTCTTTGTTTCTACCAATTTAATTAAATGAATTGTATCTGCTCTTCTGAACTTCAGAATTTGTCTTTACCGCACACTATTGTCCTAGGCGGAATCCACAACTTTAAATATATTTGAAGTAGTTGCAAGTGTGAGCGAGAAGCAAATATTCGAGAACAGCCTTTTTTGTAATAAATTTTATATTCTTTCCCCCTCTGGAATTCGCGTGACAGTACAGGCCATTAAAGTAAAGTGAGGTATGCTGAGGGCAAAAATGGTTTGCCGCTCGACAAAGTTTATTCTTTTGAAGTGGGACCGCTCTAGTTTTTCGGCATTTTTGGAGGGCAAATGTTGTGGTCCTACTTTGTTGACCCGGCTCTTTTGAAACAAAGACTCTTTCAACATTTTATGGTTGGTTTTTGATTAATATTTGTCCCAAAGCGATTGGAATGCATCCAGCGGGTGCGCCTTCCGTGGACAATAATAATAATATTAATTTTAAGCAATCTGTAAAACCTGTACAAGGAACTCGGACGATTGGATACGGATGGATCGCTGTTCTGTCCATAGAAGAACATGGCACCAGCGTCCAAACCTATGTACTCCTTCGGCGTACCCACGATACAATTACACATTGCCGAGTAAAAACAAGAAACCCCTTAAAAAGGATTAATGAATAGCCGTTTAAAACTGTTTGTTTCTCGCTCCCTCTCCCTGCTTAGAAACAGCGACTTAGCATCACCGTAACGTACTAAAAAAAATTAAATGTATTTTGTATTATAACTTGTTTATACAATACAAACGAAGTTAATACTGTGTTTTTGCATTAAAATAATTTTTATGCTGCTGCGCGACCAAATAAACTGGGTTTAAAGAAATGGAAACGCCAAACGATAATCTCAACAAATAAAATTAATTTATAGTGGAAATAGGGAAAAATATTAGGCTTTATATTTTAATTTTCTGATACTTTACAAATTTTAATATTATATGATAAATCCATTCTATTTCTTATTATTCCTCAGAATATTTAACTTTTTCTATAACCTTTTGTAATTGATAGTACTTATTTTACGCTTCACAAAGATATCAAAACCTGTTTTAACTCAATATCAATGTTTTGAAATACATTTATTATTATTTCTTTTTTTATTACACATTTACAGACTACAGATTTGTCACCTTGAATGATTATTATAAGTATTGTTCTTCATGTAATTTTTTGCAATAATTATACATTTTTTCAGGCAGATTTATAAGTTTGGTTTCATAGTTTCTGGCAGCACCACCCATAGTAACGCACACTGCTTTATTTACCCTTAATTGTAAAACAACCCCATACCTATATAAGCCATTGCTAAACAGGATTTATATGAATTGAATAAGCAGGTAAGCTTTGGTAGTTTCAAGAAATATAAGTTGAATAGTTAAGAATTTAACAAATTAATAGATAAAAAGATAATTGTTTGAAGTAATTTGTTATAAATACCATATTTACATACCAGCAGTGCTTCCTTTTTTTTTAGGAATTTGGTGCTCCTACATATAATCGAAAATTCACCGAAGCCTCCGTTTAATGAGCAGAATCAATATTATAATCTGGAGTTCGCTTTTGACACCTTGTTAGGTTGACTACACTAAACTTGGATACTATCTATTTTAAATGCATTATATATTTAACAATATTTACGAAAATTACAAGACTTGGTATTGATTTTGATATTTTTTTCTCAATTAAACTGAAAAGCCAGCAGCTGACATAGAATATTACTACTACTTTTCCAATTTTCCAAGCAAAGTACTGCGCATGCGTTGTTCATAAGGCAGGACATATTCGATGGCATCTAAGTATCGATTATTCAGAACTAAAGGTTTAGTAGTGACTTTTTCTTAACCGATAGACTACTCTTAATATAAGTTTATATGTATATATTTATTTGAATAAGCCATCCCCAGAAATTTACTTACCTGAGATTTTCTTGTAAATGCATAGTGTCGTCTTTTGTTTTTTATACTTTTCTACGCAAAATTCGCGTATTTTTATTGTACAATAAAATCACAGTAATCATAAAATTTTTTCTCATTTTTCTATTCACATTTACTCATTTTTAAAAATACCGAAGAATATATTTTATTCAATACACCCACAGTTGTTTATATAAAGTAGAGCTCTACATATAAAAATAAGGTACTAGGTATTATTATTAATACATAGAGTAATATTTTGGCTTTTTTATATGTATGTAGACACTAATATAAATTATATAGATATGCCTACATATGTAACTGTAAGTAAAATCTATTTTTAAAGCACCGATATAATTATTTCTACCGAATTTTAAAAACTAACTTTAAACACATTTCACAGCCAATATTACTTCACATGTTTTTTAAAACTTTATTTGTATGTAAATTATACACATACGTAAATATAGATCGATACGATAGACCGTTTAAAATATATTTTTAAAAAATTTTAATTAATTTTTGAAACACATATTATTATTGAAAGCAACCGAACAAATTTTCTCGAAAAAATTTCAACATTTTCAACGAGCTTTTCGCTTATAACCAAAAGTATTTGTGTTCCGTCTCTCGGCATTTGATACATATATACTTTTAGATATACACTGATAGATAAATATACACTATTTCTGTGTGTGTATAACATAAACAAGAATGAAAAAGCTATCTTTAGTCAGAGAGAAAGCTTGACACCTTTATAAAATGGATATATTCGATCAATATTTATATATATGTATGTACATATTTTACATTTTTGGGCAACTTACATATTAAAAATTTTTTAAATCCAACAAACTCTTCTAACTAAATTAGTTCAAACAAAATAATCCCTTATAAAAAAGTCATTATTATTATTTAAAAAAGAATACAAAAATAGACTAATTTTATTCAACCATTATTTATTAGGTTTTAATGTATTATAACTGGAACCCAAGAAGATATTTAAATCCTTTCAGGGTATTACAACTTGAGTCATAGTTTGCAATGCAAGAAGGAGTCATTTCCGACCATATAAACTATATATATATTCTTGATCAGCATCAGCAGCCGAGTCGATCTAGCCTCTCAGCTTCAGTTAGTCTACTATATAATCCCACTGTACATAAGCCGGAATGTGTCGGACGAGTCGGACGACTGTAGCATATAGCTGCAATAAGTATGATCGAAAAAATTTAAGAACAAATCTGAAAGTTATAATTCCAGATATCAACATATTTATACCCTTGCAGGGTATTATAATTTTAGTCAGAAGTTTGCAACGCAGTGAAGGAGTCACCTCCGACCATATGAGGTATATATAATTTTGATCAGCATCAACAGCCGAGTCGATCTAGCCATGTCCGTCCGTCCGTCTGTCCCTTTCTATGCAAACTAGAGTCTCAGTTTTGAAGCTACATAAATGAAACTTTGTAGTTAGTCTTCTATATACTCTCACTCGTATGTCGGAACGGGCCTGATCAGACGACTATATCATATAGCAATTAAATTAATACAAATAAAAATATTCATCCAATGTGAGACATACCCATTTTATATTATTCTACTATTTTTTTAAATTTTATGAAACTCGGACTACTATATCACAAAGCTGCCGTAGGAACGATCGAGAAATTAATATAAATAAAAATTCGAATTTTTTCAGTTTCCAACAGATTTTTATTTATTTTAAGATATAGCCATTTTACATTATTCTACAATTATGTGTACCATTTTATGAAAATCATCATATCATATATCTGCCATAGGAACGATCGAGAAATTAATACAATTAAAAAATATAACTTTTTCAGTTTTCTACTGAGTTTTATCTAATTTGGGATATAGCCATTTTATATTATTCTACAATTATGAGTACAATTTTATGAAAATCTGACTACTATTATGTCATAAAGCTGCCGTAGGAACGATCGAGAAATTAAAGTTAAAATGTATAACTTTTTCAGTTTTTAACCGATTTTCATCAAATTTGAGATATAGCCCTTTTATAAAAGTGTTGAATTTTGATTTTAATTTTATGAAAATTGGACGACTACATAAATGATCGTTGGATAAAGAGGAAAATGCAAAATCTGCAAAATTTGAATGTAAGACTGTAAGTATAATATCTAAAGGTGAATGAATTAAAAGCCTGCTTTACTTCATTGCTTTTAAACATAACAAGAAAAAAAGGCTAACTTCGGCACGCCGAAGTTTCTATACCCTTGCTGGTTTGCAGTTTGATCACTAGGAATCAATACAATATAAATTATATTAATTTATGTATAAAAAACATATTTACAGTTTTACAGTTGCAGTTAGGGCTTTTATATGAAAACAAACCCACTGCTAGTGGCAGAATGCAAAAAGGCCCTTAATAGAGTTGCTGATAAAAATTAGGTACAGGTAACATGGGTACCGGGACACAACGAGATCCCGGGAAATGAAAAGGCAGACGAACTAGACCGTGCAGGCTCGGCAGGTCTAAGTACAGACTTCGAATTACCGATCTCCCTAAACGCGATCCAGACAAGGATCCATGACCACTTCAAGCAGATAGCTAACAAAGAATGGTAAGAGAGAGCACAGAAGGTCAAAAGAATGTTGGCCGAGGTGCGACAAAAAACGAACCAGTGAACTGATATCCAACAGCAAACGGGATATCAGCAGGATCGCGGCAGTGACCACTGGACATTGGGCGATCGGATCGCACGAAATGAAGATGAGACTGCCACACAATACAATCTGTAGAAGCTGCAAGAAAACTACAGATCAAGAGACACCGGAACATCTGATCTGCTTCTGCCCAGCGCTGGATCACTAGATGGAGTCACTGGGAAGCATAGGAAAGCTGAAAGTTTCGGCAATCCTAGGCTTCTTTACAGACTCTGGTTGGTACTGATAGTGAACTGGACCACCAACACCGAACAGGGAGTGGAACAAAAAGGAGCTTAGCTCTAATTGCAGGACCTAGTATCGGGCCTCACCACTGTATCCTACCTACCTTTACAGATGCAGTTTTGCGTTTTCATCTATATATAATGGTCGTTTGAATGACAGCTATATGATATAGAAGTCCGGTTTTAAAAAAAATTAAAACTAAAATTCTAGAATAGTATAAAATGGCTGTATCTCAAATTATATGAAAATCTGTTGAAAATTGGACAAGCAAGAGTTTTTTTAACTTCCGATCATTTTTATGGAAGCTGTATAATATAGGCGTCCGATCCGACCCATTCCGACATATACACGAGTGAGAGTATATAGAAGACTAACTGCAAAGTTTCATTGAGGTAGCTTTAAAACTGAGGAACTAGTTTGAGTAGAAACGGAGAGACGGACAGACGGACATGGCTAGATCGACTCGGCTGTTGATGCTGATCAAGAATATATATACTTTATATGGTCGGAAATAGCTCCATCACTGCCTTGCAAACTTCTGACTAAAATTATAATACCCTGCAAGGGTATAAATATATATAATTTATATTGTATTTGTGCAGGGGGCGATCCTGGCGCTAAAGATCCTGTGTTAAAAAATAGCTCCCGCGACGCAGAAGTAAAATAATATAACCCCTAGACGTTAAAAAGAGAAGTCGGGGGCGTCGCAGGGCACGCTTCAGAGTGTCAGCTTTATTTCGCTTCATACATAGAACTGATAATCTTAAACATAAGGGTTGCGCTCCCGACCGATAAGCTAAGCTTAACAGTGCGAGAGCGGGCCCGATCGGTCTCTCAGCGTGCTTAGCAGCGAGCAAAGCTCGGGAACTTGGGAGCGGGCGGTCGCGAATATCGAAAAGAGGAGAGCGCGAAGGGCCTCCTGACGTGTACATTCTGCCCCCTTTCAATTACTCGGGTTGCAACATATTCGGCCCTTATACAACTCGCTGCAGAACGGAAGACTGGGGCGAAGCGACTGCCGCGGTCTGCAGGGTATCCTGGCTAGGGGCGGAAATTGCCTATGCGCACCGAAGTGCAGCTGAGGAGCGGTGGACGAAGCCGTGGAGTGTCTGAGGAGTGCCGGGGAGAGGCGAAGGATCCTAAGGGAGACGTCAACGTCCGTAGCGGTTAAAGTTCGCGGGTTGAATTTAACCTCTAATACGCCTGCCCTCCAGAGCGTTCGCGTGGTGCGAAGCGCCGGCATCTTCTCGAAGCGGACTGGAAAAAATATATCAGTTAGAAGAGTGGTCAGTAAATAACGTTAATTAGGATGCTGCGATCGGGGTGCAGGAACTGGATTTTCAGGCATATGCAGGAGCGTGTGGTGATGCTAATTGCACGTCTTGCATCGGTCATCACTGCGGCACTTGCCTTGGGAATGTTCGTGGGCCACCGCGCTGAGCCTCTTCTCAGCATTAAGCCTGAGGAACTTTTGGCATTTTCAAAGCTGATGGATTCCGCTGCAGACTCGGCATGGGTAGGATAAAATACCTCGTCTGCTCTTGACGTCGCCGTAGGGAATCCGCGAACGAGGATATCCTTTGGATCGGTGCGATATCTGGGCTCGAAGGTTCAGGAGCATTCTGAACACTGAAGATGGCCTGCGTCTAGCTCGTTCCAAGTTGGAATGTTCGCCTTATTATGGGTAGATTGCTCCCACATGGAAAGCGTGAGCTTGGGAAGCTTCGAGGAAACCTCCAGGAGGCAGTCCCACGCTTCGACCTGAATTGTGGACAACTCTAAAGCCGTTAGACAACTCTGTATAGTGCCTTGCAGCTCCTTTAGCGCGCTTCCGGACTCTTGGGGACAGCCTGGATATTAAAAAAAAATGGTAACTGGCTGTTGACTAGAAACTTCATATTCTCGAAGCGCTCCGTACTCTCAACGGATGCCGATATAAGTTCAGAACAACTATCGTAATCCCTTTCGACCTTTTCGCACAGAGAGCTTGGTGGTTTCTGGGGCGCCCCGAGTTTGGATATTTGCCTCAAATTGACTGACACGATTTGTCGTGGCAATAAACTTCCTCAACGCAATGTCGACGGCAGTAAGAGCCGTTTTTGTGGTCGATCGAGTGAGCCTTGACGATGGACCTGGGCTAGTATTTAAAGCATTCTCGCCGTTTGCTCTTAAGCGGAAAGCGGCGGACTTTGATTTAGACGGAGAGAGTCGCGGAGATGCGGACTGGGATCTTTTCAAACGGATAGACGGAATCGGTTAAAAAATTGTACAAAAAAAATCGGAATCCCGCAATAATTTGAATGCCGAAGCAAACGAAAACTAACTGTGGCAGCAGATCCAATTGAACTTGTTGCCACTGGAGTGCAGGTATCGGAGTGGAATCGGACTTGGAGTTGACACGAACAAAAACAATAAATCTTGCAGCAGTGCTACCGAAATGTAATGTTCGGCCCACTGTTGCAGACCGGCAGCTAGAACGAGACTGAAGAAAGCATATACCTATCTTTAGCGGAAAAGTCACCGGGAACTGCTGGTAAAAGGACAGAATTTCCATATCCGGCTCGAAGGACCATATGTGCAGGGGAGGGCGATCCTGTCGCTAATGATCCTGTGTTGAAAAATAGCTCCCGCGACGTAGAAGTAAAATAATATAACCCCTAGACGTTAAAAAGTGAAGTCGGGGGCGTCGCAGGGCACGCTTCAGTGCCTCAGCTTTATTTCACTTCATACATAGAACTGGTTATCTTAAACATAAGGGCTGCGCTCCCGACCGATAAGCTAAGCTTAACAGTGCGAGAGCGGGCCCGTGCGGTCCCTCAGCGTGCTTAGCAGCGAGCAAAGCTCGAGAACTCGGGAGCGGGCGGTCGCGAATATCAAAGAGAGGCGAGCGGGAGAACGTAGATTAGCCCGATGAACAGTACGCAAAGGGCCGACCTGCGGGAGTGCAAGAGCAGCAATGTTTTGGAAGCTCGGTGGACAGAAACTTCACTGCATTGCAATGCGAACATACGACAGTTAATGAACCCATAACAACGCAGCTTAGATATTTATAGGCGATTATAGAACCGTGATTGAATGCAGCGCGATTCAAGTCTAAATTTACAGGTTGTCTTCTTCTAGTAAAATGTCGTCTATTCTGAGGAAGCGTTTCTGCAAGGTGATCCAGTGCCTATCGCGTCCGTCTTAATGCATTTTGTTCATTATTAAAAAAAAAAAAAACAACACTCACAAAGATCACTTTGGCAAATTTGCTCTCAAATGTTGCTGTCAACATCTGTTGAGGCCATAAAGAATTTTCAGGAAGGTTTTCTAACATTTTTTAGTAACAAAAACCTTCGGCTGCCAGGCAATTGAAAAAAATGTCCTCCAAATCGGTTCAGCCGTTCTCACCTGATGCGATAATATGGAAATGATATTTTTTTAATTATTAAAGATCGTATTGGAATCGACATGGATATACCAATTTGGGCATGCCGAAGCTTTAATTCCTTCTTATTCTTATAACTAATAAGTGTTTTACTTTAATATTGTCAATACTGTTTAAGACGATATTTTTATATTATCTATTTTGGTTGACAAAATAAACATAAACTTGGCCCTGGATTTCGAATTAATAATATTTCTTCTGAGTGATTATTACAATCTTCCTTCTGTACATGCATTATCTTTTGAAGTAATCGCTGAAAAAAAAATTATTACAAAAAAATTATTCACATAAATATGAGACTAATTTTACTATGTTAATAAAAAATAAATAAACAAGAAAGGAAGCCGAAGTTTGTATATCCTTGCAAATTGATAATTTATTTTTTAAACATTTTTGGACCGTTTCTATGGCAGGTATATAATATAGTCATCCGATCCGGACCGTTTCGACTTACATACGACTGAGAGTATATAGAAAACTAACGCAAAGTGCAATTGTTTTTAGTAATAGTGAAAGAGGATATATTTGTATCTAATTATGAAGGATATACAATTCTTAGCTTTCTTAAATTTAATTTTAATATTACTATTTCTTACCTTTAACTTCCCAATCTCAGTACGTAGAGTTATAATTTTAATCTCTCCTTGGTCTAAGGTACTTCTCATTAAATTTATTTCAGCTTGAAGATTAATAAGGGAAACATCATAACTGTTCTTTCTTTCGATAGTTACTCTCGAACGTAGACACGATGACGTCTTCCGGATCTACATATGTTTATAGAGTAGTTATATATCCGAACACATAAAATTATTTAATTAATTAAGCTCACCTGATTTTTTAGTCTCGTATCAGCATGAATAGTTGATGTTTTTCTTATTAAGTCACTGGACTCCTTAAAGTAATTTGGTCCCAATATTCCACTTTGTACAAAATAAAGCTTGGCTTTATCAATACTAGTTTCGTCAAATTCTCCATTATTATTATTTCTAAGTTCTGCATTGCATTGTTTTGTGTTTTTTAAATTTCCAATAACGTTCAGTTCAGTGAAAGGAACGAGCTTTTGTACCTGCGTTTGTTGGCTCCGCTCTGCATTATTACTCCAATAATACATTATATAAGATCAAAATTGAAGAATCTGTTACAAAAAAAAGTATTTGTTTTGTGTTCATAATCATTAATTAAAAACCGTATATCTATCTATATTTATATAAGGCTAGACACAGAGGAAAATGCAAAACTGTGAATGTAAAACTGTAAGTATAATATGAATAGGTGAATGAATTAAAAGCAGGCTTTACTTTGTGTTTTTAACATAAATATATATAATTTATATTGTATTAATTCTTAGTGATCGAAGTTAGCTTCCATTTTTGTTTATTTATAAGATTAAAACGCAGTCAAAATTGGAATAGCATAAGTAAGAAGCCTAAAAAAAAAACAAACATTTTAAAAATAATTTAATATTTTCTTTAAATCAGGCATCGTCACAAGATCTATACGAAATAGCAGCCAGACAAACAAAATAATCAACTGCTACCGTCCTCATTAGCCAGACAGAATGTACGAGCAAACGAGCTTTGTTGTTGCTACCTGACGCCAATTTTCAGTGGCATTGATTTTGTAATTCTTCACGGATCACTATACATATGCGAGCTTCGAGTCTAAGAGGAGTTACTGGGGTCTCATAAAAAGAATAGCGGAATGAGCCCCGAGAGCAGAAAGAGCCACTGCGTTCTTCTCGCCGCGCTAAAATATTTAATCTATAAACTTCAAACTAAGGGACTAGTTTGCGTAGAAACGGACAGGCGGACATGGCTAGATCGACTCGGCTGATGATGCTGATCAAGAATATATGTATGTATGTATATACTTTATATGGTCGGAGATGACTGCGTTGCAAACTTCAGACTGAAATTAGAATACCCTGCAAGGGTATAAAAAAATAGGATAGGGAAGATACCCCCTGTTCTTTTATATTTCCCAATAGTTATTGATTTAACACGCATTTTTTGAACATGTACAAATGTAATTATAGATTCTTTTTTTAAACATCTTGATTTCTAAACACATGGACTTCTTATTGTTATGTACATAGTTTATTTTACTTGACTTTTGTTTATTTTTAATTGCTTAATAGTCTTTCTTATTGGCAATTTATAATTGACCCGCATACAAACAATTACGTAAAATGCATTATTTTAATTCATTTCATTAAATACCAAAAAAATGTTTTGGCAAATCGTATCACCGAATTTTTCGTTAAAATGTGCAAAAATTTGTAGTGCTAGTAGTCCTCCGGTATCGCTCATAAAGAAGTAAAATGTTGGTCAAATACTTTTGCCAATAACGACGTTTAATATGGATATTAAGTTAATTATAGATTGAATATCAATATTCAATAAAGATACAGTTATACACCTACCTACCTACCTACACCAAAATATGTATATATTTATAATTACAAGTAAGTTTGTACAATCATTGAGAATATTTTGTCGGTAAAGCTATGTACTGAAACTGACAAAAGAATGAAAAAAATGGTTGAGATGACTTCTTTGAGGGATTTTACAAAATTTTTTTTTGCAGAATCTAGTCGAAAACGAAAACAAATGATAACGGTTTATAGGACAATGATAAGAGCTAAAGAAAATATGTCTTTTTATTTTAAAAATAGCTCAATGAACTTAATTCCAGCCAATTAAAATCCTTCATCGATGCCAAAGCAAAATTTTCGAACTATTAATAAAGTAACTTATAAGATTTTCGCTAAAAACCATATTACAGTTTTATAGAATTAAGTTTAAGACGAATTTAGGTAATAGAAGCAATGTACAAATATTTAAATTTAAAAATAAATTAATTAAAATAATCACAATACGATTTGCTTTCGATATTTTTTGTTGTATTGTTTGTTGAAATTAAAATACAAATAAATAATCTTTACAAATTAAAAAAAGAAAATATATATACATTTAAGGTGACGTAATTCTTGCGCTGGAATATGAAATAAAACTAATATTTTGGGTTTTGAATTCTAAATGGGTAAATTAAAAAAAGTTAGTTAAGGGTTTCGACATACATGAGGAGTACCTTGATTACTAAATGATTGACCGAAAACAGCTGTTCCCAAACAAACTTCTTTTACGATATTTTCAGCCGTTCAGCGACTCTGAGGTCGCTGAAAGTATCGACTAAATTACTAGGTTTGGCACAGAAAAACTTTTTCACTTGTAATCAAATAAAATTATTATTATAAACGGTTGTACGATTTATTTTTCAGAAATATTTAATATATTATTTGAAAACTGTCAATTGTTAGAACGTAAGCAATTAAAAACATCATCACATTTAACAGTGTAAAGGTTAACTAATTCAGTATTCAGAATTTCAGGGGGTTTTATTCTTCTTTAGGTATAGAATTAGGCAGATTTGTAACCGTCCTGCAGCCCTCATACAATTGTTTTTATTTAAGGCACGTAATTCAATTACATTCGTCAGCTATTGCAAGTCTGACCCAAAATTACCAATAATAGCACTTAATAAAAATGTTCTTGCGTTTTACGTCTTTTTCCTTGATTGTTCACCCTTGGACTATTTAAACATTTAAAATTATTCATTGACTTTTTTCGTCGTACCATATCCTGCAGATAATATTGGCTAAGTATCGCAAACATCGCCGATATTTTCAGTCATTCAGTCGAATGGGAACCTCAAATAGTTATACTTTAGAAATTGCAACATTTTAAATTGGTGTGAACCTAGTGGAATTAAAAATAATAATAATAATAAAAAAGCTTCAAATTAATATTAACTCTATTTTAGTATTTTAGTAGTTTTTGGTTTATTAGTAGTTTTAGATCCGGACCCTCTTTTTTCGTTTTCGTTTGCCTATCGTAGTACCCGATATAGCGAAAAATCAAAGTTATTGTTTTTCTTTAGGCTCCGGTTTTTATGTGGAGTTCGGTCGCAAATTAAATATTTTGTTTAGGTTATGTTAGTATGAGATTTAATAAAAGGACGAAGGGATTTAGAAAACGTTAATGTAAAAAGAAATATTATTTTCTAAATCGCATAACCTATACTGACTGTTTATTTAAAATAGCGCTTCGACAAAACGAAAATGCAGGAATGAGCTCTTATTTCAGATTTATGTACCTTAAATATTAAATGATTTTATAATGGTAGTTATCGTAACAGTCAACCTTTATTGTAACGATGCCGAGTGTAATTAAGATATTAAAAATCAAAACATCGATAAAGGTATATATCGAAATTCTCCCATCTTTAGTTTGTAAAATAATAGAGAAAGAAGTTTCGTTTGCCAAAAAGAAGCAAAATGGCAGATAAATATTCATCAGATCTTTGTCGAGTTGTGATTGCTCAGATTACGCAAACTATAGGATATAGCAGCACTCTAAGTGCACCTTTGGAGCTTCTACAAGATGTTATGCAAAAGTTTATGGACGAGTTTGCCCGTGACCTCCATGGACACATGGAACATGGTGGGTCTCCTCAAATTTTTCTAAGCCACGAACTTTCTCACTTTCATTTAATCTTTTTACGTTAGCAAATCGTCTTGAGCCTAGTGTTAAGGATGCTCGTCACAGTTTTAAAAGTCTAAATATTAATGTACAAGAGTTATTGGATTATATTGGTAATGTAGAGCCAGTGGGTTTCACGCGCGATGTACCGCTGTTTCCCATTAAGAGGGCATCGAATATGAACTTTTTGAAACCTGGCAGTGCCGAAACTCTGACGAGGCCTATACACATCTTTGAATACTTGCCACCGATGCAGGAAACTGAGTGCAGGGAGACTGAAAGGGCAGAGTTCACACAGAAACTAGAGGATCTCTGTGCCAATACAGAAATTGTTGATAAACTTGGCTGCTTTAATCATCATAACATAGAGTCCCAGTCTTCGAACCCAGCTACGTTGCATTTCCCTTTATCAAGCAATAATAATAACGTTGAATCAGATCAGAACCGTTCTTCTATGTGGGAACTGAGCAGTGTGGTGATGACTACAGGCGGCTTTATCAGTCCTGCTATTGAAGGAAAACTACCAGAAACCGTTGTACCGGACATAATTGGTAAGATATTTCATCTTATGCTATGGATGGTCACATAAAGGTCAAGTTGTTCTTGTGAATATAGTTTTATATATATACAGTGCTCTCCTTAATAAGCAAATACTATTCAAGTATAACATAGATCATGTTATATTTAAACCTGTCTTTCAAGAACTGCAAAGATTGATTAATATGGGTTTTTTACCTACTATTATTGAATTCCCATTATTTTTGTTCTTTTATTTTCTCTAGAGGAATACAAAGGTCTAGATGCACCGCCCATAGCGGCGTTAATTCCCACACCGTTGGCCTGCTCCCCCAAATTAGAAACAACGTCAACTAGAAAGATAAAGGCACCATTGCCAGAACAAGAAATAGATAATGAAAAGCAAATATCTGCAACAATAACTGCAACAAATGTTAATTCGGAGCCATCACTATTTAATAATAATAATTTACCCACGCCCAAAGCATCAACTAAGAAAAATAAAAAACAGAAAGATGACTTAAGCCGCGATAAAACCGATTCAAAAACCCAGGAAAAAGCCCAAAAAAAAGCCATGAAGCTGTATCAAAAATTAGCAAAGAATGAAAGCGAAGAAAGTAAAATGTTTAATTTGAAAAGGTCAAGAAAGTCAGCCGATGGAAATAGGGCACAACAACTCGAAAAGCTTATGAGAAAAGAAGCTAAGCAAAGGCAAAAGCAATTAAAAGGCCTAACAATGGAAGATAAAAGTCTAAATTATGTGGAAAATCCAGAAAGTTTAAATGCAAGTGTGAGTTTCAATACAGGTAATACAGAACTTGTTAAAAGTTTCACTGACCCGATACCTGCTGTGCCTGCTAACCAAAATGATCACAGTTCAGGACTTATTTTGGCAGAAGCTAAAAAGACTTGCGAGCCAGAACGTAATAAATTGGATATATTCAAGAAAATTACAAAGCAAAGAATGGTTTTACCACCTAGCAACGCTTTTGGTAAACCCATAATAGCAGGAAACCCACCTGTAATAAGCTTACCGTCTGGGACAACCATAACTCCTACAAATGCAACAACACCGTTGGCTTTACCTTTAATTGCTTTAAATCCAGAGACAACGATAAGAAATTGTAATATAACGGAGCAAAAACAATCGTCAAAAGTTTACCCCATTGACATGTTAGTTAAGCCCAAGAAAAGGGGTCGGAAGCCGGGTGGAAAAAATCAAATAAAATCAACAAATCTCGCAGCATCTCAATCTTTAATTAACTTGCCCATTACCAATTTAATAAATTCTGCAAACACATCCAGTGAGCAGCCACTTAACCTAAGCAATTTCACAGATCAGACAGTGAATTTAATTTCCAAAAATGTTATATTAAAAGAAAAAAAGGAAAGGAAAAAACTCAAATTAAAATATGAAACTCCGACTGATAAAAATGCCAAGGAAGTCAATAAGAACATGGCGTACACTTCTCCCGAAAAATTCTCTTCTTTAACAAAAATGAATGTAGTTCGTGATCAGTTTGTCACGTCCCCAAACGCAACTGCTGCACCCATGTACTCCGCCCATCAAGGAGCAGCAGGGGCAGGTATGGTAGCAATGCCTTTACTGCCTCTCCTACACTTTCCGCCGCAACCGGGTTTGATACCCACGGGGCCACCACCTGGGATTTTCCCTGGAGTAGTACCTGGTCTGGTGGGATTTGGTGGGGGAAACAATGCGAACAAGGTGGGAATGCCTCCGTTTTTTGCCTTCTCGGGTCCACCAGATACTTCTGTTGCTGTCAAAAATGATGATGGTATGTAAAAACTCAACAAAACTGGTTAAAAAATAAATAGTAAATAAACAAAAATCCATTCATAGCTACAAACTTGGATCAAGTGAACTTGTTTGGGAGGAGGTCCTCCGAAAATCGAAACTACTGCAATGTTGCACCTTTAATTCCGCCCGACACTATGAAACTAACCGAATGTAAGTTATTACATCACAACATAAAAGCACTTTTTTATCGAAAATGAATTAATTAGGAACAAGAACTTTACCCGATTTGGGCTTAAAAATTCACTTTGAGAGTATATCTTCCTAATTTTGATGAAGCATTTTTTCTCTTGCTCTTTAATTTAACAAAATGTAATCGAAAATCAAGAATAATAGGTATATTTTAAATTAATATAAATAAGTTAACAACTGAAAAGTTGTATTTTTTTCTAAAAAGGTGTCCGACTTTTCCTATGACAGCTATATGATATAGTCGTCCGATCCCGCCCGTTCCATGTTATATACTAGTAAGAGAATATAGAAGACTATACGCAAAGTTTCAATCCGATAACTTCAAAATGGAGAGACCAGCGCGAAAAGGACAGACTGACAGGGTTAGGTCGAAGGAAAATTACCACCTTCGTCACGGGTTTCATATGTGAGGCCCAACGCTTAGGTTTTGTTGTTCCAAACTCGTGATATGCTGTTTTTACCGGCTTTCTGCAAGCAAATTTGATTTCCTGGATCAATTCGAAACGCGTGTATCTTTGGTAACTTCATTTACATGTTGGTCATATTTTGACGTCGATGGCCGTCCGTCAACACGTTCCGAACCTTCTTTAAAGTCATTGTACCACTTAAAAACATTTCTCTGCGAGATAGTAGAATCACAAAAAAGCCTTTCGGAATATCCTCAACGTTTTCGTAGCCGAAATTTCATTCTGCAAACAAAATTTGAAAGCTCTTCTCTGCTCAATCAAATCAGCATTGTAAAATCTAAAAATTGACTCTTGGTTTTTGGTAAATGTATTACTGATAATGGCATTGACATAACATTTCTTCCAGATGTCATTTACAATCCTGCCAACTCATGAAAAAAGAAAATAAAATGAAAATGTTTAGACCTCGAAAATTAAATGAAATATTGGACTTATTTTTTGCCCAGATTAGTACATATAGTTTAAAATATTAAATGCAGAAGTTTAGACATTCAACAAACTTTGTCTCACAGCAACTTTAATTAATTAACTTTTTTTTTTCTTTCTTTTACATAAAAGGTGGCGATGTAGCTTGTGTGCCTACAAATGTGGACAATTCATATACGATGACGCTGCAAAAAAGTAAAGCTACTGGCAATCTGGGCGACCCCATTGAAGTCTCAGACGAAGAATCCGATGAAGCTATAGACAAAATAGAAACCCCGAAATTATTTGAAAACAAGTCCGAGTTGGATTTAAGAAATATACTGCCTATACCTGATAAGGTTAAAAATTTCAAGAGCCCCGTGAAATTGAGCCTTGTAGGCTGTGCCCCTCCAACAACCAGCTCCACATCCTCTATTTCTTCCTCATCAACATTTCCGCCGCGATTCGAATTATCCACTTTTATGGGCGGCGGCGACAAGTTCAGTTTGGCAGGTGGAGCAGATCTTATTCCACTGTCACGCGTGGATTGCGGCTCTGCATATTCCTCGCAAAAAGTTCCCTCCAATAGCTTGACAGCTCAGCATAATACCAACGATGATCATCAATCGTTTTTGCCAAAGTTTCCGACATACGAAGACATTACCATTATACCAACCGGAGTAGTATCTTCGACAGATCTCAAGCAGCGCAAGCATCACAAGAAGCTAAAGAAAATAAAAGAGGGCAAGGTCAAGAAAAAAAAGGACAAGAAGGAAAAAACTAAAGAAAAGGATCTTATTTTGGGAGGCGGCATAACGACCACATCCGAAAAGAGTGACAAAAAAAAGAAGGAGAAGAAAAAGAAAGAGAAGCAACAGGTTTGTATCTTTTAAATTCTTTGTAAGTTTAAGTTTTTTTTTATTTTTATTTTTTTTACAACTTTAAATGTGTTACAAATGGTTAAGTTTTCAAAGTCGCCACAAGCTGATCGTATTACACTATATATTATAGACCACATCAATAATCCATATACCCGATGATGACGGGAATGAGGGTTTGCCTTTAACGAACAACATCGTCCAACATGGCCCCGCTCCAAACCTTTTTGTGGGCACAACACCTGCAACTGCAATTTCCCCAAAGTCGACTCCGACTCCTTCTCCAACACAGATTCCAAAATTAACGCTGAAACTAAGTGGGAAATCCACGCCTTTGCCACTTCCAGTTGGTGAAACGATGGATATAAAAACACCTCCGACTATCCAACGGGAAAGAGATCATTCGCCGGAACTTGCTCGCTTCTCTCCACTGGTCACAGGTCCACCGAAAACGAAACAATGTATTATTTTTAACCATAACCAATTAAATAATAATGTAACTAAAAATTTTCTCCTAATTTTCAGCTGATACAATCTCTGCAATGGCAATCGCACCTCCCCTAGGGAATCTTGCAGGCTATTCTCCTGCTAATCCTACAGCTGTGCAGATGCCTTCTCTGGTACCTAGTCCGACGAATACAAGGACTCTACATCCACCAATGGCATCAGCTCCATCCTCCTGGATGTCGATCTCAAATGACAGCACTAATACACATACCTCAGCTACGTGTACGCTCTCTGCCAACTCCGTTCTATTGCCACAACAATTAATGCTGATGACGACGCCTCCAAAACCAAATATAACTAATTTTCCATCAACGAACGTCGCAGCAGCAACCACCGGAAGAACGTCTTCATCCAATAGTCCCGCAGAAAATCCCTCCCAAGTTTTGGAAACCAAAAATCACCACCGACCTTCATCCTATGTGGATGCCGAAGGCAATCGAATTTGGATTTGTCCTTCGTGCGGTAAAGTGGATGACGGTTCTGCCATGATTGGCTGCGATGGCTGCGATGCCTGGTATCATTGGTATTTATTTACTCATTTAAAAATTTCTATTATACTATTAAAATGAAATATATATTTTAGGATCTGTGTGGGCATAACCATAGCTCCCAAGGACAACGATGATTGGTTCTGTCGTGTTTGCATCACTAAAAAGAAAGTTGGGAGTTCGGATAAAAAGGCAAAGAAACGAAATAAGAAAAAAATAAACTAAAAAGCTAAAAAATGCATATTAAACATATTTTAAATAAACACACCTGACAGCTTAATAATTAAATTATCAACGGAAAAGGATTGGCTGGAAGTACTGTTGCCCTGTGTGCGGAGAATGTGCCTGTTTCCTGCGGAGTTATTCATAAAGAGACTGCCGGCAGTTGATCCGAGAGAGCAGTTTCCAACCCTTGTATCGGTTGAACTCGATTAGTATGTTTTTTTTAAGCATTTAAGCTCTGGAATTTGTTCAGAATGAATTATATTGCTGCCCATTTCCGACAATCGCTGTCTATCAAACGCAATAATTTGGTTAAGCGCAATCTAGACGTTCACTCTGTATTTTCATTGATTTCGATACATAACTCGCATCAGTGTAAATGGTGTATAAATTAATATAGATATGTATTCATTTTTGAATCGACTAAGAAACAAGTTATTTTAGTTGCTGTTCCAAATTTTAAGATATTCTTGATTAAGACCACAATTACTATCCCATCCCATGTTTATTATTTTAAAATTAATAAATGCTCATAATTTTTGAGAAACATTTAATATGCTTTCATTCCCAGTTACGAGTGTTTTTTTCTTTTCCAAAATACTAAGATGAGTGAGTGCCCAATATAAAAGTTATTGCATATAGACTCGATCATTATCGAGACATCACCATTATCTTAGAAGACGTTCAAAACAACAAAAAAGTAGGCAGAAATTAATATTATTTTTCAAGTTATGCGTGGCGCCATCATTACAATATTTTAATGGTAGATACTATCTACCAGATAGCATAAAAATTGTAAATATCTCAGCAAAGAAACTGTATTCTGTATTATTTTTACAAGTTATTTAAATATCGTAATAGTGAATAGATTAACTAAAAGCCCTCGACGGAAGACTGCAAAATAAAAACTCTACTGTGTTAATTACGATCAAACCGATGGTTATACAAGTTCTTAAGCATATGGCCGGTTATAGGGATTATTATGCGGTGTACTTTTTTGGACACCGCTTTGACTTTGACTTCTATTAAGAGTATGTTTTTTGTTAGCAGATTTAAAAGAATTGGCTTTGATTACTAAACATCAGTGAGAATACTTACTTGAAACTAGAACAAATGTAAAAATTCAAGAAATTGTTATTGAGAAAACTGCAGATATTTTAACAATGATTTTCATATTTAAATTGTAGCTCCATTGGCATTGTTCGCTTCCAGGTCATCCTTCGGATCCTTAGGCAAACAAAGAATTTGTGCTGTGGCAGCGGCGCTTGTTCCAGTTCCTTCTCCAGATGCTGTTTCAGCTTCTGAAGCTGTTGCGTTTATAGATCCTTTCTTAAGGGTACTGCTATTGCCAGTGGAATCACTATTTGCACTACTACTATTATTGCTGCTGAGCGCCATCCGTTGCATTTGCCGTATAACTGTGGCCGCATAGTAAGCTTGCTAAAAACAAATGATACTATATTAAATATACATACATATTATACTTAAATTTACAACGCACCTTCCAGCGTGATTTTGCAAAGTTCTTTTTCAGCTGCTCTGAGACGGTTCCATGGATATTTCTGCTACTCGCCTCATTGCCAGAAATCCTACAATAAATACGGGGCAACATATGTTAAAAAATTATCTGCACTACAAAATGAGGGCTATCTTTAGAGTATGTTGCTAGGCTTTCCTAACGTATAATTATTTATTTTCTCAGATTATTAAATTTAAAAATCGTATTTTTTGACCAATATTTCACAAAAAAGATATTACAAAGCAAGCATACAATACTATATCACAAGTGTAGTGCTTCATCATTTATTGTAACCACGGTAAAACTAAGAATATTTTTCAACTCGAAGTTTTGAGAAAAAAATAAAAATATATATATATATACATTGGTATATATATTTCAAATAAATTCCGAATAGATATGCTAATTTTTATATTAGATATGCATGTATTACTTACCAGGCATGAGCCAACGCTTGCTTACATGTATATCGCTTTTCTACGGTAACACACATTAGGTTTCTTATAAAATGTTTGGCTGACTCGCTGATTTCGTCCCAATACGGCGAATCAAATTCAAATTCCCCTAAAAACGAAAATTATTTCTTCATAATTATTAATACACTTCGTAGATATTTTAATACCAATACCTTTTAAAATCTGGGCGAATAAATTGGCATCGTTTTCATCATAAAACGGGGGATAGCCACATAATAGAATGTAGGATATTACCCCAATACTCCACACATCGACGGCTTTGCCATATGGCTTTTGCGCAAGCACCTCGGGTGCAACATAGCCGGGCGTTCCACATGCCGTTGCCATAATGCCAGAGTCTTCCATTTTAGATAAGCCAAAATCGCTAATCATTATTTTGCTATCATCTTCAGCGCTGTAGTATAGCAAATTTTCCGGCTGTTCACGAATAATAATATTCTGTTACTATTTTTATATTATCATTATTCTGTTACTATTTTCGATTTGCTCACAGTTGGTCTTGCTCAAAATTTCCGACCAAATCATCTTTTAGCTGCGGCGCTTGCATACCAAAAGAGCGTTTAATTTTTTCGAGCAGAAACAAGCTTGGTACTGTACAGAGCTAAAACCTGGCAGCCCTACAAATATGTATCTTATATATAGCTACGATATCTTTCTTCAGCTACGCAGTAGGCAATTGAAATAAATCCTAGAATAAATTTCGGTATAGTAACCCACCATCCGTTGATCGGTGGTCCATAAGGTTTTGCCGTTCCGAAATTGTTCAGTTTGTTCTCCATTCATATTTGCTTAGCTGATTCGGTGCAACTCGGAGTTCTCCTTCTTGACAATGAAAATTTGAACACTCATTACGAAAACGTAAGCAAAGATGTAAAGGGACAAATTTATTTGTAAGAAAAAGTTATTGCATGGAATTCTTGTAGCCGGAAGGCAAATGTGGACATAATGTGGGCATTGAATTTAGCTAACAAGGGACATTCAAGTCAATGTGACGCTTTTGAAAAAAAATTAAAAAAATTTATCTAACATTGTCAAAGCAATATTCAGCGCTGCTTACCTTCAGATCACGATGCACGACACCCTGTTCATGCATGTAATCGACAGCCTCTAGAATTTGTCTGATCAGATGAGAAGCGTCCTTTTCCGTGTATGATCCCTTTTCAACAATCCGATCGAAAAGTTCACCACCAGTAACTCTGTAAAATTACAGAAAAATAGAGAAACAAGAGAGGAGGATAACTTCGGCACGCCGAAGTTTGTATACCCCTGCAGCTTGCAATTGGATCATTAAAACCATATCCGTTCAAAGGATGTAACGCCAACTCTTCTTTGCTCAAATCTCGAAGTGTATGAAAATATGTTGAAAACAGGAAAAGTATCACATTTTTATTAATTTTGTTCCTATGGCAGCTATTTGATATAGCTTTCCGATCTGGACCGTTCCGACTTATATAATAATGCAAATTGAAGGTAACGATCTTTCAGATGAGCTGTCTGATGATTGACTAGTTTTTCTAGAAACGGGCAGACACATCCTTGATCGGCTCGGCTGTTGTAAAAATATATGTATGTATTTTATAAGATCTGAAACGAGTCCTTTGCTGGCAACGCTAGCTTGTGACTAAACTTTTAATACCCTGCAGAAGTATAATAAAAAAATATCTAGTGAAAATAGGACGGAATATAGTAATCACATACAACTCCATGACGAGATACACTTTGGATTTGTCCTCATATGTTTCCAACAGTTGTACTATATTTGGATGTGTTAACCTGAAAAGGTAGAATTATGTAGATATATTTTAATTATTTTTCAATATTTGTAAATGATTTTTACATTCAAAAAGCATTAACTTGTATTTTTAAAAGGTTCTGTTGTTTTCCTCAAAGTTTATATTAATGAACGTTATTTTTGCACCCTGAAGCATGCTTATGCATGTTTTTTAAACTCAGCATTTATTTTGAAATAAACTCAAAATGTCTCAGCTCAACACAGAGGATCTCGGGGAAATAGAACTCACCGCCTTCCATTTGGACATTTGCCATCGAAATGATTTGCACTGAACCTAAACATATGAAAAGAAAGCAAATTAAAGCAAACAGGAAAGTGTTTTGACAAAAAAAGTATAAAAAAACAATATACAAATAAACTAGAAAATAAATTTATTTAAAATAGTATAGATAGATTTGATTGAATTATTGCATATTGCAGCCGAAGGTAAATCTGTATTGAACATAAAATATTTTATTAGACGAAAAACATAAACAGAATAATCAAAAACGCGTTAATTCATTAACATTTTTATGAAAGCAAAATTCAATAAAAATGATGCATCCCAAATTAGAATCCTCAATCTAACTTTTACCCTGTTAACCAGCCCACATGACGATATTACCATATTTTTATATATGTATGTATGTACACGTGTGTGTATGTATATTTCTTACCTCCTCAGCACACGTATTTCATTTTCCAGTGATTCTTCCTTGCCCTTTAACGCTTTCTTATCGATTATTTTAACGGCAAAATGATCACCTGGCGTCTCTTTACTTTCGGCTAAACGTACTTCTGAGAAGGCACCACTGTCGTTGAAAAAGATTAAATATGTATATTACTCTATAAATACAAATTATTCTTCCTTCTGCTACTTACGTCCCCAACAGTCCATGGAGATTATATTTCTCTTCAATTGACACTTGTTTGTTTAACTCCTTGATATCTCTCGCCTTGGCCTTCTTCCCAGAATCCTTTTTGCCAAAGAGAGGCATTTTTTCGTAAGATTTACAATCGTTTTGGACTTAGGATTTCAGAAGTTAACTGCATAGGTATTGCGCATAATTATATTGACTTCAGACTTCAAACAATATTGTCTGAAAAATGAAAAATATATTATGTATCAGTATCAGTAAAATGTACTTGTTTTTCATTCGAGCTTACAATTAAGTATGTCACGGCTCAGAGTTTGCGGTTAAAGGTTAGTTTTGAGCTGATTATGACTTAGAAACGCGAACATTTTCTCGAGAATAATACCCATATGTACTTATTTATACACAACAAAATGTTTACGTAGTATAGATACATACATATATGTCCATACATAGGTACTTGTATATTTTGAGTGGTTCTAAATTGTTTATGTACAAAGTAAAATAAGAAAATATTTGTATTCAGGCGATTTGTTAACGAACATAACACAGAATCACGATATATTGTATCACAGAAATCACGTACATTTACAGTAGCTTGTACTAAAATATTTTTGTTTAATTTCAAGAAAGTTAGTGTGACATATTTTATTATTAATTTTATTTGTAAAACGACGAAATGGAAATAAGAATGTTAATTTTTGTCACATGCACTTATATTAGAAACATTTATATACGAATATTTTTATGGAATGGTAATATTAATAATAATAATAATAATAATAATAGTAAAAAATGGTAACTTGCATATTTCACAATTGTCTGCTCGCTCTAGATATGCATTTAACATTTGTGCACTTTAAAGCTTTCTATTATATGTATTTCAAAACGATAACACCTAAAGTGAAATAACAATTAAAAATATTTTGTGTTATATTGATTTATTGATTTACACTCAGGCGCATGCGAAACTTATAGAAGCACAATTAGAGTGGGCACAATCGATAGCAATCAAACACCTTCGAAAGTAGTCGATGGTGTCACCGATAGCTGGCGGATTTCAAAAGAAGGAACAATCGATTTTTCAGCAAGGCAAGCAATATTGTTTTTAGATGGAAAACTCAATAAGAAAAATTGTATTTATTTGGTCGTTGATGCACTACTGCCAGGAAACACAAGTGGTCCTTGTAATACCAAGCATGTTATTGCGTGTTAACTGATTGTTTGCTTTCATGCCTGCTGAGTGGTTTAGTATTAAACTTGTTACTTCAAAAGAGCTATCTACTTTTGACGTTATTGTATATAAATTAAGTAATTGATCTACAGTTATACAACACTAAAAGTTCGATAGGATCGATCTAGTGTTTCTACTCCGTACGAGATAATTGAGCTGATATTACAAGTCAACACATCCCAAGTTACCATGGAGTAGGTTATAAATAAAGGTAACGGTTAGAACAGATATACGGTTGGCTTATATTGTGATTTTAAGTGTGATCAAGAATCTACACTGTACCTTTATGGAAAGGTTTAATGTATTGGTTGCATTTAGGAGAACAACATGATCAGCGATGATGGATCAGTAGTCAGTGATCAATTGATACATTACGTTGTCGTAAAAATTCTTCCCACCAACATTAATTTGATTTTGCTTATAAAATAGCTAAAATACGTATATCTAAAAAAAAGATAGAGACATTCTAAAATATTCTTAAAAATTTCCAAGCAATAGTTTTTAATTAGAGACCTCATAAAATAATATGGTATTTAATGTGGCTCCTCATTTTCGTAAGACCCGGTTTTCCAACTTCTCTAGCCCATTGCAGGAAAACGTAAAACTAAATAATTAATAATGAAATTTTTCATAAATAATAACAAATTATTATTGATTTCGCTGATTTCTATTTAATATCATCCCTTTTAGTATTATCCTTACCGATATTTCAAAAATCGATATAATCATTCACTATCGCGATACATTACAGCACGGTATAGAAAGTGTAAAACTTTTTCTTTCACGAATAATTGTATGCTTTTGAGGTGTGACCGCTCTTTTCACTACTTATTCGGCATTGTTAGAGGGAACAATTTACGGTCATACTTTGTTTACCCGGCTCTTTTGAAATTTAAGACCAACTTATTTCGTGCAGAGGTAAACTTGAAATTCAAATTCTTATAGCTAACAAATGGGACGAGATATATAAAAAAAATTAAATAAAATTAAAAATAAAAATTAGTTAACGCTTAAATTAAAAAAAAAAACACTAAAAATATAGACTTTTTTCATGTCACACCTTATTTCGTGCAAGAACTTTGTAACTAAATTTGTAAATTGTTAATCTAAATTAACATATTTTTGTTGCAATCCAATGGAGAAAACATCTGTTTATTTATCACATTTTGGCGTTTGGTTACACTGAAAAAAAATTTCCTTTGATTTACAAAAATGAACCCGCGAACACCCATGGAGCAGAGCAAATTGGTCCTAAATCACTTCAAAAATGAGATATAAGCTGTGACATGAAAAAAGTCAGTATTTTTCTTTTTTTTTTAATTTAGTTTCAAGCGGTATCTAATGGTAATTAAAAATAATAAAGTGTTGACAAAAGCCCAAGTCCTACTTAACAAAACTGCATTTAAATTTTGTTGATATCTTCTACAGGTCGTCAACTGTACGAGTTTGAATTTTAAGTTTACTCCTGCACCAAATAAGCTTTGAGCTACTGTATTGCTTGGTTTTTGATTACGAATTGTTCCAAAACGATTGGCCTAGAGTCTAGCAGCTCCGCATCAAACATCCAACATGGTCTCCGATATAGACCTCGCAAAATGTCTGGAGTTTAATAACCTGTTCTAGAAGCATCGAGATCTCTCGGATCGGTATGTCGAGCTGTTCAGCTGTCCCAATTTGTCCTTGCTGGCCTTTATCATTCCTATATATATTTCTCTTTAAGGGTTCTCTCTTCCCTACAAAATAATATATATGCCAGAAACCGAATATATAGTATTTCCCTTTACTAAACTTTTTAATTCCTCTTTTCCTCACATTTTTGTTCATGGCAGGATTTCTTATTTAAAATATGCAAAGAAACTGCAAGCGTGAGCGAAAGGCTATGGCCGCGAACAGCCTGTTTTATTAAAAATGTTTATTCATTTTGCAAGCCGCTAGAGAAATACTTATAGTGTGTCGTCGCGAATCTCCTAACGCCATCCAACTTTCTAGTATTTTTCATTTCTTGTCGCAGTACAGGCCTTAAAAACGGCGCTGACGAACAGCCGTTTTCAATTATTTGCCTCTCGCTCTCTCTCACTACTTGAAAACTTGGTTTTACCACCTCCATACCGTGCGTAATTGAGAAAATACATAGATATACATAAAAAGTTCCAGATACCAATTTAGACCGATAACAAAAATACTGTTCTGATGAACAAAAATTTAAAAATATATTAGATCGGTTTCCTATTTTGTCCCGGATGTGGCTGGCAACCAAAATCCAATGGCATCCCACATGGTTCACGATATCGAAGTGGAATCTGTGCTGTGGAGCTGCCCCATTCTGTCCTTGCTGACCTACGGCTTTTATATTTATATTCTTATTAAAGGTTCTCCTCTCCTTAAAAATTCATATAATTGACAAAACCCCAAAAAAATATATATGTATGCCTCTACTAAATTAACTCTACTAACTCTTTCAGCTCATCTGAATTTCTGACTTCTTGTTTATGGCGGGATCTATAATTTGAAATATGTGAAGGAGCTGCAATTGAGATCCAGAGCATTTTTTCATTAGAGCAGTATATCTATAGATTTTCTCAAATAATGCATTTACAATGCACTGAAATTTGTTATTAGAAGTGACGTATAGTTATGTTGCTACCACTTAGTTAAAATCCTATGGTGCTGTTAAATCGTTAGAGTTAAAATAGTTTTAACAATAAAATATTTGATTTGTATGAATTCTGTAGTCACACTAGTCAGTTTAGTCATATAGCTGATGTTTTTAGTGACCTTTAAAAGAGTAGTAAGCCCATTCAAATTTTATTTTTTTATTGATATGTCATTTAGAACTGTGTTATGTTGTTAGCTTATACCCATCTAAAGTCTGGTACTAACATACGATAAATAGGATGAACTTTATATAAATAAAGGCAGCGAAAAGAAAAAAAAAACTTAATAAAAAGAATTTTTGTGGTGCACCGGTTATTTGCCTTTAGCTCCATATCGGCGAATATATCAATAAATAGTATACCAATATCAGTTCTAATCCATTTCAATTTTTTACTTTATAAAGTTTGAATGAATATTTGGGAACTCTCAAGACGTCTTTGATTAAAATAAAAACTGCGGTACAACTTTGCCAAGAACAAAAAAAAGATCTTGTCAAAAGCCAAGTTTCAGCTGTGGTTACGATCGTTTTGTTCGCGCTACCCAACTGTTTGTTTACATACATCGGTATTTTTGCATCTTTAATTCGCTGCTTACATTTTGATAACCGATCTATCGATAGTTATTAAAAAAAACATAAAAAGGAAAATGTTTCTTTTTTTATTTTTAAGGTAAAAACTATCTGTGTGTTGCTTAAGCAATTAATAAAATTGAATTAAAATTCTATGTGTCTGTCAACTAAATTCCTTACTTTGAAACTCAATTTATTAGTGATACCATAGCTTCTTATCGATAGCAAATATTTCTTTTACGCTCAGTGTTTTTATCTCTTCTCATCTCCGATAGAAAAGTGCATTGTAAATTGAAGTACGAGCCCCCAACTTTTCTAAAAGGACGCGGACAATAAATATGTTACGAATATTAGTCGCATTGGCGCTACTAACCGACCGTTTTACTCAATACTTCTTTACTTGATAAACAACAAAAATTTTAACAAAAAACGTCTAACCGAAACGCTACTTCAAATTCAAAAGCGGAGATGCTCTGAAAAAAGTGTGTATACCGTATACAGTGTGTATGCATGGGTGTATGTATGTATTCATAAATTAAACGGTGTTAAAAATACAATAGTAAATAAAAACAATCTTGTAAAAACGAAAGTGGAACTGACTATTTCATTGTGCAACTAAAAAACCGAAAATCCTAAAAATCTTTAAAAGAAACTGCACGGAAATCCTGTTTCATTATTATAATATAATATTATATACATATGCATTTGAGTTCAGTAATAAATAAATAAAGTCAAACATTAAAATACAATAATAAATAAAAACAATCCTTACGGAACTTAATAATTAATTTAAAGATGTCTTAAAATTACATTTAGGAAAACCTAAGCATTTAAATTATGAACACGGGACCGGAAAGTACATGAAGTACCATCCTTATTTATCCTAGTAATAAACAAGGACACGCTTAAATACTTCTTCTTTTAGTTGTTATTCTGGGTGTTGTTGACGGATTTCCCAGAAGCAAGGTGGAAAGGAAAGGGAAATATTACGGTTTATAGGACAATGCGAAAAGAAAAAAAGTCATCAGCAACAAGAATAACAACTACAAGTTTCGTAAATACTTTTGACTGCAGTTAAATATTAACATTTTTAAATGTATATTTTTTTCTTTACCTTTAGTCTTAATAAAACTACGACATGCTGACAATATTTGGCAAAAAGTCGTATAATCGTGCTCAAAAACCATTCAAATTGATGAAATACAAATGAAGTCCACATACTAAAAGTCGCTACTGGAAGTACCAGTCTGGGAAAAACATCTTTGGAATACGTTTGGAAATACACATATAAAATGGACAACCATCATTTTCTTGATCGAAATGGAGAAATCACTATGAATAAGCATTTATCTCAAGTTTATTCCAAAAGAAATCGTCAGACTTCTATTTTACTAAATCAAATTATTAGAATAGTGCTGTCTGCGGATGCAAGAAGACTTATTCCTGCACGAACCCACGATAGGACTGTTTTAAGAATGACATTATTAGGACTAGGTTGGCTGATTTTATCAATATTAAACTTCCAATTAACACAGGCTGATCAAGGTGCGTAAAAAAGGAATACTATTTAGATGTTTGGTTTTAAAATTCAATTTTTTGCAGTTGTTCTTTTGGACACGACTAGAGAAGCAACTTTGGAATGGACGAGATATCCCTATGGTCCTCAAGCCCAGACGCCAGGGGTAATTACATTTTATTAAAAATAGTAACACATTTTATGACAATTTTTTCATCGATCTCAATTTTCACACTCGACATTTACAATTTGTTGAGATTCATATTAACAGATAGAAATCCGCAATGGGCCCTCTGTGGCTCTTTCTGCTCCCGGTGCTTTTCCCATAATGCTTATGCAGAGGCACCGGATAGACGTCCCAGACGGTCGTAGCACTTGTTTGCCCATTCGTTAAACTTTACGAAACAAATATGCCATTGAAATTTGGAGTCGATAAGATGGGGGAAACGTACATCAGCGTCGCGATCCCGAGTTTAGAATAACAACTTACATAAATGAAGATCGTTCGAACGCACGTTCTATATGGCTCTTTACGAGAGTAATGTTTTGTTTTTTTACCCTTAAAGGGTATTATGATACCCAAAAACTTGCAACACTGTAATTAAGTCATTTCTGACCCTATAAAGTATGTCTATATGGGCAATGCTCTAATGTCAAATACTACATTTGTAGGCTCGCAATCTGAAGAAAAACATGTGCCAAGTCTTAATGTAAAATTTACAAAGTTATAACTAAAAGCTGTTGGCTAGCAGTGCCAAACTAGCAATATAATTGGTGCTAAGATTTAAGGGAATTATTTGTTTTGAGATTTATTTTTTTTTTATTTTTTTTTTTACATATGTATATACATATATATAATTATTGATTAGCATCAACAGCAGATTCGATTTAGCAATGTCCCTCAATGTCATAGCTGCCATAGGAACGATCGTAAAATTTGCACAACAAAATTAAAATATGCTTCTACAAATGCTTTTGATGCTGGAAAAAATATATAATTTCTTCTGACTAAAATTATTATACTCCGCAAGCGTATAGTGAAGAATTTTCAGAGATATTAAGAGACACAAAAGTACGATGAATACGCACATTTATTTTTTTGGGCCTGATTTACCATTCCTCGGATATATGTGTATTAAATAGGGTAATTACATCATTGGCTCTTATTCTACATTTTTAGTGGGTTGAAGAATCGTTTACGGACTTCGTAAAGGGCATTAACTGGCGAAGCTATGTGGTTTGCGATGTCGCCTATCACAATGTCAACAACTGGCTTTGGTCGCCCTTTATTGATCGTGGACCAGCAAACAGGCTGTATATTGAAATACAATTCACCATACGAGATTGCTCATTATTTCCAGGTAAGCAAAATAAATGTATCTCAGAGACAACTATCGAAAACAACGAGGTATATCCCCGGAGTCCGACTCACATAGGGTTATGATATTGGGACAATTAAAACTACCCTTTTCAGGGCGCGCTTTAAACTTGTTTGGCAAAGCTAGCTATTTATTTAATAAGTCAGTCAGTATTGATATATCGACATTTTTAGTCACCCTATTGTTTAGACCTTAGGACTGTCTAAAATAATTTTATTTAAAAAATACAAACATTCTTTTTTATAGGAAATGCTTTGTCATGTAAGGAAACATTCAGCTTACTTTTCTACGAGTTCGACGCGGCCACCAGAGAGCCTCCGCCTTGGCAAACCGATAGCTACCGGCTGATTGCCCGTATTGCGGCCGGAGAGGGTCGATTCAATCAGAACTCTGATGTCGACATCAATACGGAGGTCAAGAGCATAGCTGTAAATAAGAAGGGGGTTTATTTTGCTTTTCGCGATCAGGGTGCATGCATTAGTGTACTCGCAGTGAAAGTTTACTATATCACCTGTCCCGCTGTCACCGAGAATTTTGCGCATTTCAATGAAACACCAACGGGAAGAGAAATAACGATAATTGAAAAGCAGAATGGAACTTGTGTGGAAAATGCTGAACCCTATGAGACGCCAACTTACCTTTGCAAAGGTGATGGCAAATGGACCATACTCACTGGCGGTTGTCGCTGTAAAGTGGGCTTTGAACCGAATGACTTAAATAAAACTTGTACAGGTTAGTATTCTTACTTTTTTCCCCTTTTTATAGCCTTGCAGTATATTCTAGTTTCTGTCAGAAGTTTGCAACGCAGTGAAGGAGACTTTTCCGACCTTTTAAAGTGTACATATATATTCTTAATTAGCATCAGCAACCGAGACGATCCAACCATGTCCGTCTGTCCGTTTCTACGCAAACTAGTCCCTCTCCTCGTATATATGCCGGATCAGAGGACTATATCATATAGCTGCCCTAGGAACGATCGGGAATATTTACAAAAAAAATTATAACATTTTCAGTTCTCAACAGAATTTTATCAAATCAATCTGACTAAAATTATAACAACCTGCAAGGGTCTTATACCCTTAAATAAGCACAGCGAAGCTCGTATATCTTGCAGATTGCAATTCGATCATAGCCAATTAATATAATATAAGTTATACATTTTAATGTTAAAAAACAACGAAGTAATGCCTGCTCTAATTTCATTTACCTATACTATTTACATTTGTGTCTTCCATATGATATAGTCCTTCTTTCATAAAATTAAAACTGAAATGAGATTAAAATATGTCAAAAACCAGTGAACAGTTATAATTTAAAAAAAAATAAGTATGGATTACTAAAGTAACATTTCCAAAAGTTATATCTTTATATTTAAATAACTACCCAAGGCTAATTTTTGGTTACTAGTATACAAATTATTCACATTTTCTCACCCCTATCATAGCCATGGTTGGTATAATGGTAACTTAAGACTCTTATTAAATGAATAAGAGAACATTAAATGATAGATATACCCACAGGGTATTATAATATTAGTCAGAAGTTTGCAACTCAGTGAAGGATACATTTCCGACCCTATATATATATAATTATATATTTATATAATTCTACAATTTCGTTTAAAATTTTATAAAAAATCGGACGACTATAATACGTTCAAACCTGTCATAAGAACTGTAAATACTTTAAAAACTGTAAAACAGTAAATATAAGATGTATACATAGGTGAATCTAACGAAAGCAGACATTATTTCGATATTTATACCCTACAGGGTATTATGGTTTCAGTCAAAAGTTTGCAACGCAGTGAATGAGTCTCCTTCGACCATGTCCGTCTGTCCGTTTCCACACAAACTAGTCTCTCAGTTTTAAAGCTATCTGAAAAAAATGTGCAGTTAATCTTCTATATATTCTCACTTACTTACTTACTTACTTTCTTGTTGAATTTAAATTTTAGAATGTCCACTTGGTAAATTTAAATCGTCGGAAGTGCAAAGATGTACCCCATGTCCGCCGAATTCGAAGGCTCTTAAAACAGGGTCAGCGTATTGTCAATGTATCCCAGGATACTACCGGCATCCGCGCGATGGCCGACACATGCCCTGTTACAGTCCACCGGCAGCTCCCACCAATCTCACATTGCTTTTTGTGGATCAAACAAGTGCCATATTAGCCTGGAGTGCTCATAACCCCAATATAAACGAATCATATTTGGGAGAACCTACGAAGACCCAAAAGTATCACAGTGGTATAGTGTATAAAGTGCGATGTAGCATGTGTGGCTCTAATGTTATGTACAATCCGGCAACGGATACATTTAACGAAACGAAAATCACGATTACAAATCTAGAACCAGTAACAACATATACTGTTCAGATTCATGCCACAAACAGCGTGACACTGGTCACTGAGCCATTGCCGTCGCACTCCAACGAATCGTCCAATTTATCGAATGATTTTGTTTTCAACAATACTTCAACGACGCAGAACATTCCTCCCCTGGATTTGAATGAAATTAAAACGCAATATGCCGAAATTGTATTCACAACGGAATCAGTATTACTGTCAACAGTCTTCAATTTGCGCGTCTTGTCCATCACCAGCAAGGATGCAGATCTTGAGTGGGATAAACCCACTCAAATTGATAACCCCTCGAGTTCTACGAAGTTCGTTGGTTTCCAAAACTTGAACTTGATTTAATTAATAAAACGGCATTGAATACCAAGGACACAAAGGCTCACATCGAAGGACTTATGGAAAATACGGAATATGGTTTTCAAGTTCGATGTAAAACGTTAAATGGTTTCGGTTCTTATAGTAACATGATCTATGCCCAAACTCTACAAGCCGTTAGTTCAGGTAATATTTTTAATTATTATATTATACTTATATTTTTATTTATATATATAAATATTTATATAGTTAAAAATATTTTTTTATTCCTTTATTTCATTTTGCGATATCCGGATGCCGACAATCACCTTTCTAATCCTATTTAAATTTTACCATTCCTTAATTTCATAGTCTATGACGACTCAGTCCAAATACGATTCATTGCCGGGGCCATTGTCACTGGGGTACTATTTCTGGTTATAGTAATTGTGGCAACAGTGTATTTTATGCGTTCAAAGCATCAGGATGAGCTTGATAAGAAGTCTACGAATCATTTGCCTTTGCCGATGGATTATGCCAGCAATGAAGGTGGGTGTACACTCAAACAAATACTCTGCTCTAAAACATTACAATTAAGTTATGGAACACGCAATGTATTTCATATAAATTAATATCGATCACCAATAAGTACTACTTTTTATGAAAAAACAATTTTTTAACTTTTCTATAATGTGTTTGGATTACTTAAATCTAAATTTTCTTTTTAAATTATTTAAATAAAGTTCCATGCCAAGTCGGCTCACCCCGACTTTAATCCTTTATATTTTTTAGAACAAATCCATATACAATTTTGTTTTTGTGATATATAAACTATATATTATTCCTCTTCTTTATTTTTAGTTAATTCTATGGATACTACTCCAATTGTCAAAACCCTTCACTTAAACGGTATAACCTATTGTTTAAATTTTTGTATTTCTTATTTTTTTTATATATATTTATATTTACTAACTTGTGTTTTAGTTTTTGAATGTCGGAATATATTGTTGCATGTTTCTCTGGAAGTTTTTTAATTACAATAATATATAATATATAATATATAATATATAATATATAATATATAATATATAATATATAATATATAATATATAATATATAATATATAATATATAATATATAATATATAATATATAATATATAATATATAATATATAATATATAATATATAATATATAATAATAATAATAATATATATTATATAATATAAAAAATTGTCAGATTGATCAAATTTAATGAATTTAGCCATGTTTTGTTTTGAAACCAATCTTTTAAACAGAAGCATTCTACTAAGACTTTTGCAGAGAATGCAAAGGTTCAAAATATAATGCAAAAGGAAGTATGCGATTTCCAATTAAGTTATAATTTAGATTTTAAATACCGATCTCTAAAATGTCCCATTCAAATTTACTTCTAACTGAATTAAAAAAACAAGAATGGAAGCTAACTTCGGCACGCCGAAGTTTATATACCCTTGCAGAATGAACTTCGAAAAAAACAATGAAGAAATGCCTACTTTCATTTCATTCACCTATATATATTATTATTATTATTATTATTATATTAAAGTTTAACATTCACAGTTTTGCACTTTTCTCTATATCTAACGATTGTTTGTATGGCAGCAATAGTCCTAATTTTTTTGTAAAAATCTTCCGATCGTTCCTATGGCAGCTATATATACTATATATATATAATAGTCCTATCCGACCTGTTCCGACATAAAAGCGGGTGAGAGTATATAAAAGAATAACTACAAAGTTTCATTTGTACAGCTTCAAAACTGAGAGACTAGTTTGCGTAGAAACGGACAGACAGACGGACAAACCGACATGGCTTGATCGACTCGGCTGTTAATGCTGATCAAGAAAATATATACTTTATATGGTCGGAGATGACTCCTTCATTGCGTTGCAAACTTCTGGCTGAAATTATAATACCCTGCAAGGATATAGTGATCTCTATTTGAAGAACTAAACTCTATTTTAATGCTTAATGTTAAACTTCGTTTTTTTTAGTGACAACGCCCCTTTTTGGTAATAGCCGATGTTACATAGATCCGCACACATATGAAGACCCAAATCAGGCAATACGAGAATTTGCCAGAGAAATCGATGCTAATTACATAACTATTGAAGCTATTATAGGTGGGTATATGTTTTAGTTATAATAAATAAATATATTAATATAATACATTTTTTTATATAAAGGCGGCGGAGAATTTGGAGATGTTTGTCGAGGTCGCTTAAAAATTCCTCCAAATTTTGTTCAAGACATTGATGTAGCCATAAAGACTTTGAAACCAGGTAAGTGTACCCGTTTGAAAAAATGTAAATACAGGTGTTCATAGAAACATAATTTTGAATTTAGTAATTCAAGTAAAATGGAAGGTAGGTGGGTTAAACTGGTGAGGCCCAAAACTAAGCTCTAAGCTCCTTTTTATTCACTCCCTCTGTTGACTACTTGTAATCTCTATCACTCTTAGTACCATCCTGAGTTAGTAAGGAAGCCTAGGGTTGCCGATACCTTCAGCTTTCCTATGCTTCCCAGTGACTCCATCTGGTAGGTACCAAATTGGCGAAGTCCGGTGTGATTTAGCGCTGGGCAGAAGCAGAGCAGATGTTCCGGTGTCTCTTGTCTCCTTGTCGAGTGCTTTTGAGGAAGATTGTATCTTAATTCTCCTGCCCTTGCCTTTAGATTGAATAATTTTGCCGAATTTGTTCCAATCTGTCTTACGGGTGTTTCTTCTTGGTACCAGTTTACTTACTGGTGCCGGTTAAAAAAAAGTACCTATGGTCTGAGAAGTATGTTGTGTCGATACGTCGTACTCTTCCCACCCTTAAAAAATGTCCGTGCTTGAAAAATAAAGGTTGGCGTGTTACCTTTGTTACGTATCGTATCGTTGCTGCAGATGTTTTAAAAAAGTGGCTCATCTCTTTCGTATGTTAAGTTTCCGAGCTCCCCCAGAGCATGTGGCTCGCATTCGCAGCAGCTTGACTACTGGCTCAGGCGGTACCGGCTCGTCTCGGGCCATTTATGCCGATGCGATAAATATTTTGCTCCCATCCGTTGCCACGAATCAGCTACTTGCTCGTCCCTAGTCCACGACTCCTGTACCATACCGATGTCGATATCTCTCTCCCTTAGAAGGATCGTGGGATTCGCTGAAACGTGCGAGCTGCGCTTCAGGTTGGGGTGGTATCAGGGTATTTGTCATCCAACAGATTGTTGGTGTCATCGACCTCCGCCTGTATCTCGTCCGGCTCGGCCAGGAAGATCTTGAACTTAACCTTCCTAATTCCGTACTGCACCTTATGGTCATTGACTTTCTTCTGCGGCAGCGCAGCGGGCCAGAGGGGGTGTGGGGCCTTGAAAAATGTGAGCCGCAGCTTCGCCCCAGCGGCAAGGAAACTGTCCCTGGGAAGGCTCCGTACAAGCACAGCTGGATAAGCCTCTCAGCTGCGAACCTGGAAGTCTCACTTGACTTGAGGTGAGGCTGTTCAAAGACTTGCACAGGTCCGCCCGACTACACTTGGTCAGAGTCCCGGTCCAACCTCAACAGAGGAGCTGCTTCCGGCCGCCATGACTTCGAGAGTATAGTCGCACTACCGATGGTGCACACAGTTACGGCAGATGACTCGGTCATCTGTTGATCCCCCTCTGTACCCTATTGGCTTACGGCCTAAAGGGAAATAGCACCGAAATTATTATTTATTGATTAGGAGAGGTAATGTTTGGCAAGATCACTGAGATATTTTACTTTGATACCTTAAATTTCAAAATATTAACGGCACTTCTTTCTATGTATTTACTGAAAAACAATCGTTATATTTTTATCCATCCCAAGGATCTTCAGAAAAAGCTCGCTGTGACTTCTTGACTGAGGCGTCCATTATGGGACAGTTCGATCATCCGAATGTCATTTACCTCCAAGGCGTGGTGACACGCTCCAATCCCGTCATGATCATCACCGAATATATGGAAAATGGGAGCCTGGACACCTTTTTGCGGGTCAATGATGGCAAATTTCAAACATTGCAACTGATCGTAATGCTGCGAGGCATTGCAAGTGGGATGGCCTATCTGAGTGATATGAATTATGTGCACAGAGATTTGGCGGCTCGGAATGTACTCGTTAATGCGCAATTGATATGCAAAATAGCTGATTTTGGATTGTCACGAGAGATTGAGAATGCCAGTGATGCGTATACAACAAGGGTAAGTACCAAACTTCATTATAGTTACGGCATTTGACTTTGATACCCATTCACTTAATGTTACTCAACTTAATGGGTTTTCTGTTGATCTTTTAGATGGGTCTAAAGTTATATGAACGATAGATCCTACGTAAAAACAGTCCTGCAAACGAAGCCATATGCGTGCCTTATTGCTTACTTTATTTATTAAGTTTCTGACCAACTCTTAACTCTGACCCTCTATAGGTGCCATAAGAACAATCGGAAAATTTTTATAAAAAATTATAACTTTTCCAGTGTTCATCAAATTTTAAATAGAGCATTTTTGTATTATTCTGGAATTTCATTTTAAATTTTATGGAGACTATATCGTATAGCCGCCAAAGTAACTATGAGTGTAAAACTATGACTGTAAAATTCTAAATACAAAAGGCATATTGAAAGGACTTTTATTGTATTACTTAATAATGATCGAATTGCAAGCTACAAGGGTATACAAACTTCGGCGTGTCGAATTTAGCTTCCTTCCTTGCTTTTATTACTATTAATTTTTTCTCTTCTCTAATTATTGGCTTAAACTTGATTCCTTAATATAAATTTTTAATAATATTAATATATTTGAATGTTTTTTTATTTTAAGGGTGGTAAAATTCCAGTACGTTGGACAGCACCGGAAGCAATTGCTTTTCGAAAGTTTACCTCTGCCTCCGATGTCTGGTCATATGGAGTTGTTTTATGGGAAGTAATGTCTTACGGAGAACGTCCCTATTGGAACTGGTCAAATCAGGTAAGAAATACATATATCGAGACATTTTCATGTGTAACTATTATAACTGTCTAAAAATTAGGATGTAATAAAGAGCATAGAGAAGGGCTATCGACTGCCAGCTCCCATGGATTGCCCCGAAGCGCTTTATCAATTAATGTTAGACTGTTGGCAAAAGCAACGAACGCATCGTCCAACTTTTGCGAGCATTGTTTCAACGTTGGACAACTTGGCCAGGCAGCCGCAATCGCTGCTAACCACAAGGAACTCTCCCGAATCGGATAATACTCACATTTTGGATTCACAGCAGCGTGGTCAAAATGTTTTTATTAGCACAGACCTGTGGTTGGAGCACATCAAAATGTCAAGATATTGCCAACATTTCAAAGAGGCTAACTTAAATAATGCTCAACAGGTGAAAAACTTATCTTTTGTAAAACTTTGCAGCACCGTCAACAGCCGAGTCCATCTAGCCATTTGCGTCTGTCCGTTTCTACGCCAACTAGTGTCACATTTTTTCCTATTTTTCAAACTTTTCAAATAGTCTTTCTTTACTCGTCTATCGCGCTATTTACACGTAAACGAAAATCTGGAAAATAGATCTCGTTTACAAAAAAATATTCAGAAGTTTGCAACGCAATAAAGGAGTCACCTCCGATAATATAAAGTATATATTGTTGATCAGCATCACCATGTTCGTCTCTCCGTCTGTCCGTCTGTACGTTTCTACCCATACTTGTCTCTCATTTTTGAAGCTATCTGAATGAAACTTTGCAGTTGGTACTCGATATACTCACACTCAAACTGGATAAATTCTTAATGATCCAATTGTAAACTGCAAGGGTTAATAAACTTCGGCGTGCTAAAGTTAGCTTTCTGTCTTATTATAGTGCAGATATATAAATATTACTTTATTCAATCTTAGATTTCCCGTCTAACTGCTCAACAGTTATCGGACATGGGCATAACCCTCGTGGGACACCAGAAGAAGATCTTACATCAGGCTCGTCAGTTGGACACTGTCATCTAAAAACCGTTAAATGTATTTCAAGTAGTACTTCTAAGCTGTAAATATAAAATAATATAATATATAATTATATATAATTTACAATAAATTTAAATTAAATATATATTACGACAACACAAGACAAAAAACAAAACGCAATTACGTAAACGTAAGAATTTTGTAAAAGTTTAGTATATTTAGTATAGAAAAAAGTATGGCTTTTACCTTTGCTTAATTAATTATTCATGTGTAATAAGTTTATGATTATGTCTTTAATTTTTGTAATAGAAACTCAAACCAAGCTTAGACTTGTACCATTTTCTTCGCCGCGACTGCTTTTATTTTTATTGTTATAAGAGTTTATAAGTTTAATTCAGACTTTAATATCTTCGGCTTATTTTGCATTTAAACATATTAAAAACAAAACAAAAAAAGAATAAAAAGGTACGGTTTTCCAACATAAGCAATACACAACTATAATTATTTCTCATCTTTTGTTGCTTGGGACTAAGTTGGGATCGTTATCGAGAGAAAAAGGCGAACTTCGTTTCGCCACCAGATGGCTTCGATTTATGTAACATTTCGTTTGGTGATTAAAAAATTAAGCTTTTTTTTGTTTTTACATTTGAAAAGTAATGGATCCAGTATAACTTTTCCACGTGCGCAGCATAATCCATCCGTTTCTTTTTTGAACTTTAACGCATTGCAATATCGACATATAGTCGTCATTGGTCAAATATATAATTTTCATAATCACTGTAGTTCTCAGTGGGATCATATTGGAATGCCAATCGATTGTTTGATGCCAATGATCTTCGTTTCCTCACGCGTTGTCTCAATAAGGCATTTTCTCTTATTATATTTTGTCTTTCTTAGCTTAAGCTCAGTGAATACACTTGATGATTATGTTCGTTCGCACGTGGTCCTTTTGGACTATAACCTTAAATGCACGATCCACATAATTAACACATTTTTAACTTACCACCTTAAAGACAAACCTACACTTCATTTATTTTATTGTTTCCAATTGAAATGTTGGGAAACGACTACTTGATATATTGGTTTGTAGTAAATACTATATTTTAGCGATGGATATCCCGCTTTTCTGTCGAACGGATAAAAAATATCCTATGTCCGCAAGCAAGAAAACTGAGTTTTTGAGTAAGTCCATGTCTGAGTATCTTTATCTGACGAATATAATGATAATGCGTGTTTCAAATGAAAGTAATACTATTTGCATACAGTCCATCCGAGTGAAGCAATTGAGACGTTTCGCAGATGTGAAACTCCATCCACAGAGCTAAATCTCCATCCTCCATCCTATAACAACCGATCGAACAGCTGTGGCTCATCCAAAACATAAACAAAGCTGGTTAAAGTGGGTTCTGCGGAATAACTATTTACCGACTATTTGGGACCTCTTAAAAATTAAAAAAAAAAAAACAAAAGGATTGTGTTCCGCTTCCGGGAAAGTGAAATTGCCTCAACTTGGAGCCTCTGCACTCTCTATTCGCTAGATCTACTGCTAAATCGAGGCATTTCCTGTCAAACATCCCCAACATATTGAAAGAAGAAATTGGAGATTAAAATTTTATTTATTTGTTCAGTTTCAGTAAGAAACGAAGTCATGCCACCCAAGAAGTCGAGTTTGGGTCGTCGTACTCGCAATACAGAAGCAAAAAGACGTAAGATTTCGAATATGACTGACGAAGAGCGGGCCTCCATCCGAGAGACTGAGCGGCTAAGAGCAATGCAGATGCACAACGCGGAATCTGCAGAAAGACGAGCAGATAGGCTTGAGAGTTAGGCAGTCGCGTTCTGCAGCAATCGATTTGATTCACTCTCAAAATAATGAACGCGGCAGGGCAAGGGTAGCTAAAGCGCGTTTACAGCTTGCAGCAGATCAAAACCTGCAATACATTCGTCTTGCATTCAGATATAATCCAACTGTTGATTACAGCTCGAATCGCAATGTCGTTATTGGCCGAATGCAGCAGGTCTGCACATACTGTCAGGCTCTCAAATTCAAAAACGAACCAAAAGGATTGTGTTGCGCTTCCGGGAAAGTGAAATTGCGGAGAATGGAGAAACGAAGAATATTGTATACCAACAAGTATTACAGAATTAAATGAATTTTAAAATTATTCTTTTTTGTTTGACTTATTTCTTACGCGTGCAACCACAATATGCCACAGAGAAACGTGGCAGGGTACAGCTAGTAGAAATTATATAAAAATTAGCATTTCAAGTCAATAGAATATACCGGAAAACTACAATTAGTTTCTCTGGCATATTTTGGACATTGGCGCCTTCAGTACTTCACTCGTTCCTTGCCACCTTTGTTTACATTTTCATAAAGAATACTCAAGTTTTCACAGCATAGAAGAAGAATTCAGAGTTGCACCGAGGAACTATCGCCTAACAAAAACAATTTATCTGATTTCATCTGGAATTCGAAGTGGTAGGGTATTTCCCTCTCACAAGTCTCCAAGGCGATATAGGACAACCTTTAAATTAATATATAAAAGTATTTGTTGGTCTGAGCGTTTGCAATTAAAAATTCATAAAGTCAAAAATGAATTAAAAAGTAGCTTTTGACCATCGGCAATGACTGCCAATTTTTCATCTATTGCGTACAATTTGGTCATCGAAACCTTGAAATGAGCTGTTCAACAATTCCATCGGTGATTTTTTCGGGTCTTTTCCTATCGTTCAGTCGGGGAAATCCCCTAACTGTCTTTTCAGTCATTTATACTGGATATATCAAATAAGCAATTTTTATTTATACCCTTGATGGGTCAGAAGTTTACAAAGGAGTGAAGGGGTCATCTCCAACCATATAAAGATATATATTCTTGATCAGCGTCCACAGCCGAGTCGATATAGTCATGTCCGTCTATCAGTCTTCTATATACTCTCACTCGTATAGATGTCGAAACGGGCCGGATTGGACGACTATATCATAAAACTGCCATGGTAACGATCGAAAAATTTTTACGAAAAGAGTTATAACTTTTTCAGTTTTCAGCAGATTTTTATCAAATTTGAGATATAGCCCTTTTATATTATTCGCGAATTTCTGCTTTACGAAAGATCTTCAGATACAGAGGAAAATGCAAATCTGTGAATGAAAAACTGTAAATATAATATGTATACGTGAATGATACAAATGCAGAATTACTTCATTGTTTTTAACATAATTTATAATATATTAATTCCTTGCGATCGAAGTTATATCTGCAAAGCTATATACATTTCGGCGTGCCAAAGTTAGCTTCCTTTCTTGTTAAAAGTAAAATGGTCGCAATGGTCCTTTCAGCTCATATGGCGCTTTCCAGTATGGTCACGTTGAACGATTTGTGAAGCTTTACGAAACGAAAAATTACGGTGGACCGACGCAAATAACGATCATTTCCTCGCTATCTGGCTCATAACTGCTGTTTTGTGTGCTGCGCAGTCGCTCTCCAATTTATTTTGTGCCCAACGATGAAGCACGATAATGCCCTGTAGTGTTATACTTTTCCTAGGGCATCTATGATAACAAGACTAATTCTAGTTGGTATTAGGTTTTTCACTTAATTCAAAAGTTGAAATAAAGCTTTTTTAGCTTTTTATTCGAATGTTAGAAGACCTTCGGTCGAGAACTTCTTTCCCATTCATATATATAAAATATACTGCTACTGTGTGTATGCATTCACGCAGTCATAAAAAAAATCTGTGAATGTGCCTCAACAAGAAAAAAATAAAAACAAGTATGGAAGATTATGAACTTTCTATTTTAACGAAGAATCCAAAAGGTATATTTGCAAGAGCATGAATTTATGTGATTTCACGTATTCAACAATTCACGTGTTTCAAAGTATAAACATAGCATCTGCTGTGATTGCTCATGTGTTTGTGTAAGCAAATGTCCACAGTGTGTATATTAAGTTCGTGTGTGGGTGTGATTGTGTTGTTTATGTGGCGTTTGCCGCTCTTAAGTAAGCAGTTTTTCTGTGGTGTATATTTTAGTCGTATTGGAACCGACGCCCAAACAGGTTCACGTTCACTGTAAATGCGTGTGTGAAGAGGAATGTCGATAGATATAAAGAGAGAGCTAGAGCGAGATGAAAGTATGGACTTACTGTGAAATTGTGATCATATTTTTTAAACACTTTTATCGAAAGTATTTTCCCTAAATTTGTTTGACCTTAATAGAAATTCGACGATTTCAACTAGCTTGGATAAATTCGTGTGAATAAGACCAATTTGCAGAATATTAAACAGTGTAATTAAAAATAAGGGTCGCAGATTATTTTAAAATCTATACAAAAAATACCAAAACCCTTTTAATACTATTAATCATACGGGAATGAAGTGGCCATGAGGAAAAAACATGTTAATAATAAACATTAAGAAAAAAAAACTCACGTTAATATCAGCAATATCAGTTTCTGATCGGCATATATCAAAACATGCTGGCAATATTCTGTTTGAAAGGTCAGCTAAGTTATGGTTTACATTTTGTTTAATATATTTGCTTACACAGCAAATAAATGCTCAAAAAATGGACGGCCAAATGTCAAATTCAAAAATAATAAATAGTAATTACAAAATCAATAGCAATACAAATATCAAACATAGACATCAAGAAAGTGAAGATCCCCCAGAGGAAATACTCAGCCACATAAAGAAATTAAAACCAAAATGTTACATTTTTCAAAAAGCCAAAATAAACCACCTAATACTAGTTCAAATAATTATAGTCTGATTATTCTAAGACCGTCTTCGAATACATATCGCAGAAGTAATGCTATAATACCTAGAAAATCCAGAGATATTCCAAAAGTTAACAATAAAAAGTCAACCAAAATTGATGAAATTAAACTTAGGCGCTTAGTTCTAAAGGGCCTTGGAATGAAGAAGATGCCAGATATGACAAAGGTGAATATAACTTGCACAATGTGTATAAGTTAATTAAAAACATTCTTAAGAAAGGCTGTCAAACATCTGCTGTTACTTACGATATCTATCAGTCTCAAAGTCTGCACAAATGTTTTCTTTTGCTGTGTGCAAGAAGGAAACAATAAGAAACACAAGAGATTTCAATGCAATGAAGAAGCCAGTTTCTTCATCTGCTTCAACATCCAAGTCGATTTACCCATGTCCGTCCGTCTGTGTGATTATATCTGAATATACAAAAGGTGACAAAGGAACGATTTAAAAATGAATAAAACAACATTTTTTTGTGTACAAGATATTTTCATCTACTTTATGATTTGGACGTTTTTAGTATTTCAGGATTTCGGTTTATCTAAGATAACATGTATAAGTGAATGCAACAAAAGTATTTCTTATTTTCTACCATAAATATGTTTAGTTTATATTGTATTAATTATTATTGATCCAATTGTAATTTAAAGGGTATGAAACCTTTTTCAGTGCCTAAATTAGCTTCCTTTCTTGCTTTTAATTTATTTTATGTTGCAGCCAGAGATATTTGCAAATCGAAATTCGTTGGACTCAATTTATTTTACAAAACGAAACTCAAAGCATAACACCTTTATTTTAAAATGCGGTTTACTCGACTTAGCATTCATATATTGCAATATCTGGTTTAGAAATAAGAAAATTAAATGTGTTGAGTTAAGAACAAGTAAGCAATTTAACATTTTTAGTTTGCTATCTCCGCATTCTCAGTAATTAGCTTTTTTTTTGACACTTTGAGAATGCGGAGAGCAAACCCCCACGCAAAAGGGTTTGGATGATGGTTATTTACTAATTCTAAATTATTATTTGAGAAAATGACAATTGAAAATTATTACAAATACACCAAAATCAATCATACTACAGTCGAATCCCGATAATTCGTACCCCGCTAAATCGAAAATCGCGATAATTCGTAAAAAATTCTGTCCCCTTGAAAAAAACTCGTTAATTCGTAAAAATTCCATACATTTTGGTCCCCTTGTTAATTCGTAGTATTTGGCACAACGCAAAGAATATTGAACCTCTTATAAATTGTAATTTTGTTTCGAAACCTCTTATAAATCGTAATGCGATGCGAAATATTTTGTAGTTAAAGCGACGTTAGATTTTGCAGGCATCAGAACGGAGAAGAAATTTTATAGAATTTACAAACCAGAGCATTATTTCCTCAACTTAAACATTATTTTTCGACTCATGATGTGCCAAATAGTGTGTTTGACAACCTAATAGGTTTAGAAAACGCAATGGAAAAAATATAAGAAAAAAACACGAAGCAATACAAAATTACCAATTATTTGAAATCTTGAATTTTCATTTTTAATAATTTAATGTTTCTGCTTAATTTCGTTTGTTAATTTTTTGTTTAATTTTCCTTTAATTTGAAAAACGTACAAACGAATATACATATTTATTATGTTTGTTTAATTTTAATAAAGCTAAATACATATGTAAACATGATGTGAAATGTAAAAACCCAGTTTATTCGACTCTTTCATTTTTGAGCCCCTTTAAATAGAAATCTCGATAAATCGAATTCCCGTCTAATTCGTAAAAAAAGTGATCCCCTTGCCATTTCGAATTATCGGGACTCGACTGTATATCCATTTTTTTATAAATGACTTATTTTCAAATCGTCTATTTTATATGTGTATATACATATTTTATATATTTTTTTCAATATTTAATTGTTAAATAATTGACTCTTTTAATGAAATAGAATTGATAAAGTGTAGTCTGGGTTTAAATGATCCCGATAATATCGAAAATATCAATTGAGTTTCCTTTGATGGTTTGACAGCTCCACCCCTCAAATTGTTGTAATGTATGCATGATAATATAATCTGGATATATCTTTATATTTACAGGTTAATATAAGCCAAGTTGAGTACTCGAACAAATACATAGAATACCTAGATCGTTTGAGAAGTAATCATGAAAATTCGGAGTACTCCTTAAATAGCCAAATGGTAGAGTCTTCTATAAGTGACTTGCACTTATTTAGTATCGTTACTAACAGATTCAATGACATAAGCCACAAACGATGGCGGCACAGGAGATCACTTGATGCCAGAAAATCCATGACGAACATTCTCCTGCACTTTCCTTTGTCAAATATTAAGGAACAGAAATTGCAACATAATAAAATTGATGAGGCGAATGTGAGGTTAATGATCCTTTATAGCTCTTCTCTGGCAAAGGTAAACAATTCGCATCGCAAACACAATAATAAAAAAGAAAGTTATGATAAGAATTGTAATTTTGATAAGCCTAAAGGGAGAAGAGTCCCACAAAACCGTCAGATAAACCTTAAAGTTTATCAACTTCTTTCGTCGAATCGAAGAAGACTGCTGACGTCGCGAAAAATCCAATTCGAGAATATCAATTATGAGGAGACTCGAACCCAATGGCTGGAGTTCGATGTGACGAGAGCGGTAAGGGATTGGTTAAGCAAAGCCCATCCTAATTTGGGGATTGAAATTCAGTGTGATCGATGTAAGACTCTGGGTGTCCGTGTACTGAGCGACACTAACCCTACGGCTCAAAAATCCTCTACAGGGGATGAAGAACTTTTTAATCTAATGCCAGTTTTAAATATAATTGGCCATGGAGCTATGCAATCGGATTCGAAAGTCCACCACATAACACTGACACACAACAAAAGCGATCATGATCCATACGTGCATCATAACACCCGGTGGGGGGAACCCCTGTTAAATGGAACAATTCATGCTACAAACTACACCAAAGATGCTGTCGCAATCAATTGGATGTGGCCTTTAAAGATATTAAGGGTTTTGAGTTTATATTGCAACCAAAAGTATTCGATGCGGGGTATTGCCACGGACGTTGCCCGCCACGTCATAATCCTGCCCATCACCATGCTCTGTTGCAGAGTTTAATATGGCAGGAGGATCATAGTCGAGCTCCACGGCCATGTTGTGCTCCCTCCAAGCTGGAAATGCTCGAAATATTGCATATTGATGAAAATCATAGCGATAAGCTCAAGATTTCCACCTGGAGTGATATGCAGATTGTTGAATGTGCCTGTTCCTGAGGCTTTCTATTCTAATTCTAATTAGAGATGGTTCTTTATACGTTTCTATGTTTAACATTAAGATTAAATAAAATGTTGCAATACCGTTTATAGGTCTATAAATTGCATTATGTTTTGTTATTTGGGAAAAATTAAAAAACCAGGTACTGTTTCCATTTTATCATATAAAATTATTATTTTATAAATATAAAACTCATTAAATACTTCTTTCTTTTGATCTTAATATTGTCTTTACTTTTGCAAATAAAGATACAAAGCACGCTCAACGTTTTTTGTGGCTGTCGAAAGGTATCTTAGGCAAACATTGTCAGATTAAAAAGCAACCTTATAAAAGTAAGATTTACACAAAAAAGAATATACATATATACAGTACTTGAATAGTCCGTTGAGACACTGAAATAAATATGTAAGTATAAAGCCTCAATTTATTAATCTATCACATATGTATGTACCAACCCCCTGTTTATTTGTCCCACCTTACCCTAAGAAATACATTTTTTTGAAAGGTAGTTTATTTTTATACAAAGACCTCTCTGGTAAGCAAATATTGACGATGGGCTTTTCTAAAGCTTTAGTCCTGTCTTTGACCGACATGTACATACATGTATGTATATGGGGACGAACGCATGCATTCATAGTTACATACAAACAAGAATACACTGAGTCAAGAAAGTCTGCAGACAGTGTCTTATTTCAGGGGTTAAACCAACTGTAGAATCCATGTATCGGTTTATTAACACTCAAAAGATGTGATTTATCTTCAAAAACATGTTAAACGCTTAACCACTCTGGCAATGTTTCCGTTTTATTTTTTTATTTATTTTTATTTTTTTAACACGTGATTTTCTAATAGACATGCCGAGTTCTAGTTTGAAAAATCGTATACCAAAATTTGAAACACATCTTTAGTTAATAATTACCGATTCAATGCCTAGAGATTTAATAAAGAAGTTCGCTACTTCCTTTTATTCGGGGAAAATCGACAAATATCGTCACCTTTTTTTCAACCATTACTAATTTTCTCATTAATCAATCATTATTTAATCCCTGGATCAGTCACTAGATATAGGAATAGCAATATATATCTGGGTAGCTTTATAAAAATAATAATAATAATTTAATTACCCTGACGATCTTTTCGAAGTCTGTTTTTTTTTTTTTTTTTTAGTAAAAGCATGTACCAAAAAACGTTCTTTTTTTCACTTTTAAGTTAAAATACTTCAAAAACCTGATGTATAGGAGCGTTTCTAGAGGAGAGTGCGTTTCCGAAAATTATGATCTGGTTCTTAAAATTAATCGGTATGTGATGTTGATTTCTCCATCGGTCCCATCGGCCCATGAAAGCATAGTTTCAATAATATAGCTCTATGCCAGTAGTCGGCACGACATAGTTCCGAGACCGGCAAATGCCTCTGTCGCTCACAACTCGTACACAAACTTCACTTACTTTCTTAATGAAACACATGCTCTACATCAGGCACGGACTCAAGATACAAGATACAAGATATCGGAAAGGGCAGCCAGACAAAAAAAAGCTTTGATTTGTTGTTACAAACTTAGGACCGCGCGATATGCGTTTCCCCTACCCTGGCAGATTCGATCATTAAAATTATTACAACATAAAATATATATTTATGTTGATAAACAACGAAGTGATGCCTCCATTCATAACACACATTTTGTTTACAGCTTTTCAGTTAACGATTGTTTCTATGGCATAATCTCCCGGTTGTCTTAAAACTAAAATCGAAATTCTGGAACAAAAAAATTATAAATAAAATGAAAATATTATTTGTTGAAAACTGAAAAAGTTATCGTGCCTGTGGACGCTATATAATATAGTCCGGCTCGTTCCGACTTAAAATAAATATATATAAAATGATAATGCTACAAAATGTTTTCAGTCTTTTTACCCTATTTGGAATAGACTGAAATTTAAAATGAATCCAGAAATACAAAATAATATTGATAACATATGTATATTGATAAGCAAAAGAATCGATTGTTTACCGTATTCTATGCCCTTTACGAAGGAAAGCACTCGACATTTTGCTACAAATAAATAAGTATAAAATGCATTTTAACCTGTCAAAATATATTCGTTTCACGTAAACAAAAACAGACAATTTTTTATATATGTAGATATTTTTTTTTATTATTTAATTGTGCTAAATAAAATGGAATTTACTCGACAGACAGAGACAGGCACGGTCTAAACAGATTCACTTTAACTATTACCTTCGCTTTTTATGAGATTTGTTGATTTTTCGTCTCTTTAAAATCATGTCGTATAGTGCGTCCAAGCCTTCTTGAAGACCTTCGCCGGTTATGGCGCAAGTTGGTTGGATGTACCATCCTCGAAACGTGGTATTCGAAGCTGTCCTATTAAAATGATCGTGTTTAATATTTTTAAAACATTTTTTCTTACATTCTTCTCCCGAAGAATCATTATACGAATGTGTGTTGTATTGCAAAAATGCAGCTGTATTTTTCTCATCACTTTGATCGTTAAGATTAGGTTTTATGTGAACTGATAATGAACTTTCGGTTATACTTTGGTTTGACAAGCTGCCGTTGATCAAGTTGCTCGTATTGGATGAGCTACAACTGTTTATGACTGATATATTCGGCGGCATTGTATAGTTGTGAAGCTCGTTGAGACCCAAAAGTTTCTCCAGCTCTTTGGCACCGCAAGCATTGGGCAGATCTTGCTTATTTGCCAGTATAAGCACGGGAACACCCTTTAAATAAAGATATAATTTGGCTTTAAGCTTAACACAACATTTTTGTTCAGTTTAATATTTAGCATAGCGGGGGTTCAGTTTTCGTTTTAATATCAGTGGTACCAAATATGTACATACATATGTACATATGTATATATTAGCACTAAAAGAAAATTAACGAAATATGATAGAAAACCAGAAATGAAACTTACTTCGGCCCGCCGAAGTTTGTATATCTCTTCAGACTGCAATTGGAATAATAAAATTAATACAATAAACCAACGTAGTAATGCCTAACCTGCAGTACCATTCATAAGTAATTCATCAACGATTCATCAACAGTCAAGGCGGGGTTGTTGTTGAATCATCGATGCCCATACAAATTACTGATTAATATGGGCATGTCCTAGACTGTCATCAACAACAATTCATCAACAATTAATCAATGATTCATCGACAAATCATCAATGATTCACCAACAATGTATCAAAAATTAAACATTTTAGGTAAAAAAAAGTTTGTTGGCCTTGATTTTTTGCACTTGAAAAATATAATTCGCTGTTAATTGGTATAATTTAGTTGGTAATTTTAAGTTTTAACCCTTAGTTTTTCTTCACCTAAAACACATAATACCAGTGTTTTCCATATAATTCCACGGTTATCTCTATAATTCCACTGTTTTCACTATTCACTATTCACTATTTATCATATGCATTTACTGTTTTAGCAAAATCTCTCACGCGGCAAGGTAAATTTCACAATTTAACCTGTCTTTCAAGTTTTTGTATAACTTCTAACTCATTTCACCGCTTATATTATTTTTTTTATCAACGTTTTATCAAACGAGAGCGAATCGTGCCGGGTTTGGCACGATTGCCGCCTCAGAGTATCATCTCGGTAGAAGTCGCAATCGGAACGTCGATGAATTTTTGATGACAGTGGCCTACTGAGGACATGTGGTACTGCAGGGTACCTTGTTTACATTCACCTATACATACCATAATTTAGGTTTTACAGTTAAAGTTCTACAGTCACAGTTTTGCATTTTCTTTTACATTTAACTACTCTGCAGTACCGCGACGCTCTGCCCACGATACAGTTACGACGGCAGTCGTCGGCAGTACCATGGCCGGACGTCGATGAATTTGTTGATGAACTGTTGATGATTCGTCAATGATTTTTTGATGAATTTGTTGATGATTCATTGATTAATTGTTGATGACAGCCTAGGACATGCCCATGTTAAATTCATCAACAGTTTGTATGGCCATTCATCGATGAATCATCAACAACACCGCCTTGACTGTTGATGAATCGTTGATTAATTACTGATGACTGGTACTGCAGGGTACCCCTATAAGATATAGTCAGATTATCATAAAGTTAATAAAAGTTTCCATCTTTGAGTAGATGAAGTTATAGTAAGTTATAATTGTTTTTGTTATAATTTCTCAACCTCAGCTATATAATGTAGTGCAAATTTTATTAAATTTAATACCAAAATTCTAGAATAAGACAATCTCTCTTATCTTAATTAAAATATATTGAAATATGCAAAAGTAATATTTTTTACTTTAATTATCCGATTATTCATAAAACTAATGCCGAAATTTTGAATTAAAATAAGAAGTTCTTTATCTCAAAATAGATGAAAATATGTTAAAAATTGGAATAATTGCAATACTTTTTTAAACAACATTTCAATTATTCCCATGGCAGCTATAGTTGTTCGATCCGTTTCCGACTTATCTATTAGGGAGAGTATATAGAAGACTAACTGAGAGACTAGTTTGCTGAGAATCGGACAGACAGACATGGCTAGATCGACTCGGCTGTTGATGTTGATCAAGAAAATATTTATTTTATATGGTCGGGAAGTCTTCACTGCGTTCCAAACTTCTGAATAAAATGATAATAATGCAAGGGTATAAAAATAGGCGCCTAAAGCTCAGAATTAAAATGAGTAGAATTCATTGCGATACCTGATTATCTGGACATTTTGCTGTTCGCATTAATTCCATTTTTGCCTCTTCCATTCGCTCTGTATCAACTGAATCAATAACGAACAAAATGCCATCAGTGCAGCTAAAAACAATTATTACAATTAAAACTTTGAAATTAAATATGTGAGAATGTATATACCGCGTGTAACTCCGCCAAAGTGGTCTTAGCTTTTCTTGTCCTCCAACGTCCCAAACAAGAAAATGTACTCCTTTCGCCTTGCCAATGTTACCTTGAACCTTTCATAGAATTGGTGAAATTTGTAACGTTGAACATCAAGTTAATTTTTATGTCGATAAGAACCTTTTCACAATTGAATCCAATGGTCGGCACTGTATTTAAATACTGATCGAACTTGAGTCTGTATAGGGCTGTTGTTTTTCCTGCAGAATCCAAGCCTAACATGACTACATGGAGAGTTCCCTTAAAATTATAGATTGTATCTTTCTTTATATACAATTGAAAAACTTTTTATTTAACTACCTGCGATGGCAAGGCATCTAATATATTTCCATTTTTCACCAAAGGCTTTACCATTGTAGCCCCCATCCTAATTAATTATGTTTTACATTACTTTACTAAATTATATATTTTTTCCTTCTAGTTCGATATTATCAGTATGACCGCGGTTGGTTTGTTCAAATATACCTGGTAGAAATTCAGAAAACAGCACATACCAATTTAAATGTTTTACACCACTATTTTTATCGATAACAATTTGCAGCGTCAAATAAACCATGCCCATTAAAAACATTGCATTTACACCAGTTTTAGATAATCGATATTGACTTCTACATACAAAAATAAAAATTTTTTATTTATTTTGTAAAATTCTGGTTATACAGTTTTAAAACAATAAAAAAAACTCTTAAGAAGTTGGATGAGGCTGGAATTTTTCCGCTTGCTGCTCGTTCGAACTCATTTTTCTAAACTGCCAGTTCCCCAGACCATCAAACTCCAAAATATGCGTGTGATATTTCCTAAAAATATTAATTTATAATCAAATAAATAATAACATGATTACGGATCTTACCAAAGAGTCGGCCTATGCGTTATTGTCAGCAGTGTAATGCCCATTCCTTTGGCTATTTCATAAATCGAACTTTCAACGTCTATCGATACAGCACTCGTGCATTCATCAAGCAGAGCATAACGTGGTCTAATAAAAGATGCAGTATGTTTAAAATATTATGAGGGTATTCTATTTTTTGAAATATTTCTTTATACTTATGGTAGAATAGACGAGCCACCGCCATACGTTGTTTTTCTCCTCCCGATAATATGTCCTTCCAATCACGTACAACGTCAAAGCTATCGCTGTAAATTTTAAAACAGAAATGTATATCTTACCAAGTAAAAATACCAGAAAACTTTATACCGTTGGGCGATGTGTTCAAGGCTGACCAATTTAAGAATATGTCTTAGTTCGTCTTCCGTTATTTTCTTGCGTTTCATATCATCACGCGTATCCGGATATATAATTTGATCACATAAACTTCCTATGGACATATACGGACGTTGCGGAATATAAAACATACAAGGAACATCTTCAATAGGACGGGGAATGTGCAATTCTCCGGCATAAATCGGCCAAAGTCCACTTAATATTCTGAATAAACTAGATTTACCGCAACCATTTGGACCAGTTATTAACAAATGAATACCGGGCTCGATGCATAATGTAAGTTTTGGCACTACTATATCACAGTTTGGTGTCACCACTGGCACTTCTCGGAGGCTTATAGACATATTTCTGGGATCATCCGTATAAATTATACGACCCTTTGCTATTGGTTTGCCATTACAAAACTCGATAATTCCGTTTGATAAATCGCCCGATTGCACTACACTCGTTTTGCAATAGACACCTTGTGCCGTTTCCTCGAAAACATCCATCATACCGGCGACGCGATATGTGTACCCAGCAAGGGCAACAATTTCTTTATACGATGACATTAAACGCTCGATGGCATCGGCAGCGGAAATTAATAAATTTCGTGCTGTTGTTAAATATTGTGTGCGTTCACTGACATTCGATTCTGCATGGGAGGAATTGTCACGAACTGTTAAGGGTCCGTCACTAGAACTGCTACTCCCTGTTAAAATTGGCAATGATACCATAATCATACCCGTGCCGGACCAAACATATTTCATAAAGAATTGCTCGAGCATTATAAACCAAAGTTTTTGATTAAAGATTGTAGTCATTTGGTTAACAAGACGATTGTAGGCCTGTCGTAGCTGATGCATCTCAACCTATATGTGCAATTAATATAAAATAATTATAGCGTAAAATATTAAATCAACTTTTTTTTCCGGGTAATTAATTACCCAAAGAACTCTTCACCGAAACTCTTCGTGAATAAGACTAGAAGCTGACATTTTTATAGAAACTTACCTTATGCCCTCCGTAAAAAGCAATTTCTTCAGCATTGGTGATTATCCGGGAATGAATATGCCTTAGATATCCATACCGGTTAGCTTCCTCCGAAACCAATTGGCCAAACTTTGGTGAAACGACACGTAATATGTGTGCTGTTAATGCAATAACGCTGACCGACAGAGCTGGTCCTGTTTTTTTATAAATTAAATGGTAAAAAAAGGTTATGTTCAATAAACATATGTATGTCATAAGAGATTAAAATATATATAAATATACCTGTTAAAATATTGGCTTTCATTTTTCTTGATGACCTCATTAATGCTAAGCCAATAAGCATTAGATCAAAGCAAGGCTTGGTCAGGCTACTGTACAAATGAGCTACAGAACTGGCAAACACTGATATATCCTCCGTAAGTCTGTGTGTAGAAAGTAACGTTAACTTTTATATATTTTATTTTAAACAAAGAGGGAAACTATAAAAATATTGATGGGATCAATGTTGACAAACTTTTTGTAGGCCTTTTTAAGGACATTGAAATTATAATGGTAGATTAAAGCTTGGTGAAAAACACAGGAAGAATATTTTCTCAAACATGTTCTGATCAATTCTATAAGAGCCATAAGGTCCATTATTGTACAATCAGACTCGTTCCAGTATATAAATTACAATTGAAAGCATATAATCTGCAGGTTTACTTTAAAGTGAAATGATTATTATTACTATGACTTACCTATGATCTGCATTTTCAATACGACCGTCCAAATTGGAAACTCGATAGTAATTCTGATTTTTAAAATATAATCGATAAGAATGACGCACAAGTCTGGTTCTAAACGCTAAAGCTAATTTACTCTCAAGAAATCGTATCATGGAATTAACGAAAGTAGCTGGTATAGCGATACCAAACCATTTTAGTAAAACCAAAGCAAACTGCTTAATATCCTTGCGTACAATAAATTTTACAAGAGCCCCCTCCAGTGCCGCTACATAGATACTAAGAAAAGTTCGGGAAATTAGGCAAAATGTGTGTATGCTCAACAATCCAGTTTCATAGCACAAAGTTTGCGGTATCATTATCTTAACCAGCATTCCCAGCTGCTTTAAAAACGCCTTGTTTAGTCCAGGCTCGATGGTAATGGTTTTTTTTTTTAGCTGCTGTGCAACTAGTAATTTTTCTGCTTCCGCCAGCTTTAAATCTTCATCAGAGCCATCGCCATCTGTTTCCGTTGGTGTAAGGGCGCCATTCTTGTTGACTTTAATTTTTGCCTTTTGGTGAGAATTTTGAATCACGTAAGGTATAGTCACTTTAATCGTAAGAGCCACTATTGCACCGGTTACCAAGGCATAGCTAAAAGCGTGTTTAGTGAGACCATTTTGTTCGCACGTCTCTGCTATACGGTCAACATATTTTGATAAAACGCTCATTATATTACAGTGGATTTTTCGCTTTAAATTTAACAACAATTTAACAAAGCTAGTCAACAACTAATAGAACAATGCTGAAAGTAGACAAAGACAAGTAAGTAACAAGTAAGTAACAAAATTCAGAAAATTCGTAAATACAATTTGTTAAATTTTAAAAATAAATTATTCTAAATGGTTTTAAAATTAGCAGTTTTTTCCACCCTACAAATCCATGTTTAGTTTTACTTAAGAGAAGACCTCTATGTAACTGATAACAAAACACTCCCGTTTTTTTTGCTTTCTCAAATTAGGAATATACTTCCCATTGGTGAGGAATATGTTTACCCGAGCTTACCGCACTAAATAATAATTTAATAAGAGTGTTTGTGCTTATGCTTGTGTTCGGTCTTTTCCCGAAAGCGATTTTAAACTTAATGCCGCCGACGCAAAAAAGACCGTATTCGTTGCGCTTTCACGTTAAACTAGTTAATACGATTTAAAATTTACGCCTCAAAAGTTATTTGCCATGCGCTGGTAATAAGTTGATAACAAAAACATCTCATGGTTCCTTTATTTTATATGTATGTACTTATATATACAAAAATTTTTACAATTAATAGTATATTGAAAAACTTACATATAAAAGCCATATATCTTTGTAAAGTAGTAGTAGCAAAAACAGAAAATTGAAGGCTTATTTCAAAATCTGTATGTCTACGTACATTGCAGTAATGCAAGGCCAGACATACATACGTAGCAGCAATATTAATCTCCAAAAACGTATTGTTCTAGCGGATTAGATTACCAATATAAGGTTAGCCTATAAGTGTATGTAGATAGTTGAACACATTCATATGAAATTGGTAGAAGGGTCCGAAGTGGTTTAAGTAATTTAAGATTATTTGGCGGAAGTTGATAGATTATCAACCTATAAAGAACTTTGGAACTGCTCTTTTATCTTTATGTTAGCTAATACACGAGCAATTCCGTTTTGGTATATTACAGGGTCTCTATACATAGCATAATAAATATTTTGATTTTATACTTATACTTTTTTTTAAGTAGAAACGGTGCATTAAAATATCAGAAATGCATTATATGATAGAAACGGCGCATCTTCTGACCAGTGTATAATATATTTAAAGTAAACACCTGAACACACGTACCTACATATGTACGTATGTATATACTTATACTGAGTAGAAACATATACTTATATATGTATAACTCATCATACTTACGTTAAGAATTTCCTTTTCCACAACTATGATTTGTACTAAAAACCATCACAAAGTCCAAACTTCAAACGTCGGAACATAAATGTTATGAATGTATATGTGTCTGCATGTACATTATAATGCTTGGTAGACACAAACGTGCTTTAGCATTTTTTCGCAATAACTTGGCGAATTCCTTAAGTTTCTTATCACAGATTAGAATTCATTAGTTTAGGTTTTTTATTATTTTTATAAGGAAATATAATCAGCATTATTATTAAACTATGTAATAGACATGCACTTTTAAAAACAAAAAAAAACGCGACCGAATAACACAAAAGCTTAAAGCTTACTGGTGTGTACTAATACAATGTACTTAGATACCGACGACATATGTATATATGTCTATACGTTAAAGCGCATTCTATGTATGGGTAAAGAAATACACACGTAAATATGGCATACTCGTAAATTTTAGTACGAAGACTGCAATTAACATACATATGTACACACATATGTATACCTTAAAGTAATATGTTTGTACATACATTCATCATGAGCATGGCCTACCCTAATAAATATACATACATATGTATTTGTGAGGTGACATTTATTAATTAATATATTTTCCAAATTGTAGGCTAGTTCAGAGTGTATATATGTATAAAAATACAAATAAAAAAAATGAGAATAACTGCATATTTTGTACATATGTATATAAATTATCATGAACTTTTACTACAACTATCGACGATATACCATCACTAAACCCTCTCCAACAGAACAAAAAAAATTTCATATATATTATGATGAATTTGAAGGGCGGCTGGTTGAAGTAGTATCTTTTCCAAATTTCCATTATATAGGTAAAACATGTTAAATTTTGTTGGGCTTTATCCATGCCTTTTATAATTACTTTATACTTATAATAGGTTGGTATTTCATATTCTTGGTTACATACATATATTAACAATTTAGTTTTAAATACATTTAACTTTAAATAAGAATAAGATACACAAAATTCCTTATTGTTCCCATTCGCTTTTACTGGTGCCATTTGAACGTAACTCTGCTAAATCACAGTCGTCGACGAATTCAACGTGCGTAAATGGAAAGTGACCATTCCGGCCATTTAGTTCCCCTTCCCATTGGCCATTTATGTTTGTTTTTGTGACTTTAATAATATCGCCTATTTCCAATTTCAACGCAGTCTTGTCGTAAGCATTTGGCACCCTCGACTGTTTAACACGGGCATACGCTGGTAGTTTGCGCTATATAATATAAAATGAACTACTAATTTACACGCGCAAAGTGATTGTTCAGAACATACTTACATTTAGGTCCGTCCTTTTTAGGGTACTACCCCCAAGCGAATTTCCAGTTACTGGAAGATGAGCAGCTGTCGTTGCATTCTCATCCATGCTTTCGTCATACTGCAGATGAAAAGGTTAACACAAATTTGGCAATTATTATTCGCGCTTACCCGATCTATATAGGGAACGGGTATTTGACCAATTTGACCAGATGAATTTCTCGCCGTCCACCATTGTTCTTCGTCCTTACGAATTATGGTTAAAACTTCACCTCGGTGAAAGGGCAGATCGTCTTGGTCCTTTCATATAATATAATTTAAGATGAATAATAATAATATATTTCTATATTATATATAATATACACTCACGCTGCCGACAAAATCGAATTTCCCCAGTACTTTTTCGACTCTTTTAAAGGCCGGCCGCCTCAGTGGCGTAGTGTCCAAGTAATGTAGGGTATAAAAAGTCAATAGTTTTGGTAAGTCATCAAACGACTGATCTCCAATACGATAAACATAATGGTCCTGTTGTTGAACTTTGTTAATGATATAATTGCTAACTTTTGTATCTTCTCTGAGAATAAAAAGATTGAAATGAAAGGCTTATATTAGTAATTTATTGACTTTTAATATTGACATGTTGCATATTGTTGTAAGCACTTGATGTATTTACCTTACACAGAGTACATAATCGCCCGCTATAGAATTACTGTCACGTACTAAAAAGACCCCACGTTCACGCTCGTTCATTAACGCTTCAGTGGCGTCCTGACGGGACATTGGACCAAAATACCAGCTATATGAACATATTTAATATATAAATACTTGTGTTGTATACAACGCAAACTTGCTTGTTATATTTATACCTGTTCCTATCTTCCACATCAAATGCATCCATTTCTGTTTATTTATATGATGATTCGGTCTACAATCATCAAATTTTAGAAAAACATGAGACCGTAAATAATTACAACTCTCATGCAAAACCGAAATAAAACCTAATTTTATTGAATTAATGATCCGAAATGTTTGCTTTTTGTATGTGTATCCAAGTTCCACACTAGAGCTGCAAAAACATCTCGAACTGCATCGCGATGTATCGGATGTGGTATTTATTGAACTACCAGCGATAATGTTCTTTTGTTATATACGATGAAAAATTATGTTTACTTGAAGTAGGGCCACAAGAAACTAGAACGTTGACAGTTAATTAATGCGTGCTAGCGAATAAATTTGATTTTAGATTGCCATTATATTTTGAGGTTGAAACGGACACTTGATGGATCTATCGATATATTCATGGTATAAATACGTAAATATCAAATCTGACGTTAATACACAATTTCCACTCTTTAACATTTATATACATAAACTTGTTCACTTAATTGCATTGCTCTCTATTTATATGCATCAACGTAACTCATTATGCTCAGTCTGCCTACAACGATTCTTATGGTATTTACAAAAGGTATTATTAATTTTTATTAGCAGTCACATGATGACTTTACCTTGTTCAAACATCTGGAATTTTGCGGCACCAGATAATTATCAACGCTGATGGCCGCTGTTTAATATACCTTTTCGCTGTGAAGAACTAACAGCTCAAATATATCCAGAGTATTTCCTTTACGACTAAGTGATTGAATTAGTGAAAATATTGGCGATACATTTAGCAGCACAAGGTACGACCGAAAAAAGTCACACGTTAAGTATTCAACCATTTACTTGCTACATACAGATATATTTTTTGAATTCTTCTTCAGAAAATGGAATAATTTTAACAGTTGATTTTGTTTTTTAATAATCCAAACCTTAAATTTATACGAACTCGGGATCACTGAAAAGTTGAAAATATAGAAAGGGCAATTCATATGGAACAGCTCTCAGTTTTCATCTGCCAATATTCATAGCCATTCAGTCATTGGGTGTAGGAAATGCCCTGAATTGAAAAATGGTCTTAAATTGATGTTTAAGATGTTTACCTTGAAACAAAGCACTTATGTTTATTTTGATAAAAAAATGAACAACATTTTGTATTTTTTCATAAATATGTAAAAGAATAACCTTACTATTAAAAAGTTTCCAACCAGAGATGGATAAGACAACTATAATCGGTGACACCGATTAATTGTTCGATTTTTATATGTCCGCCATTTTGTGTAATGTGTGTTGCACAGTGAAAAATCCAAAGACGTCATAATAAACTGGGTTTTCAATCCTGTATTTTTATATAAATGACATGTAAACCGATTTAAATGTCCACAAATAAAAAACATCTCAAATAAGGGATGCTTATCCCTATAATTGACTATCGCAGTCGCGTTTAAGTGCGTATATTATCCGCAGTGCTTATATGTGTGTACACAGCTGAATGCATACATATGTATGTATGTATGCATGTACGTAATCCGTGTTTGGTGCTTAAGTATACAAAAGCAATTATATACCTTATATGTGCAAGTATGATGCAAGCATATATTTAGTGAATACATCCATATATCATATATTTAATAGATCTTAGATCCATATTTAATAGATCTTAGGCATTTTGTCTACATATATATGTATAGGGCTACAATATATACATACATACATACATATGTATATATTTATATTATTTTGTTTATCGAACGTTATTCTACAAAATAGTTCTAGTGTACATAATGTGTTAACAGTAAACTAAAAGTAATGCAAAAACATTTTTAAAGTGAAAGTAAAGGTAAAAATGCATTTTGACGAAAAAACTATGTACATACGTATGTCCATAGGTGGACGTATACATATATGTATGTATGTTTATAAATGTGTGTTTCTTCTCTTAACCAATTACATTTGCTACTTAAACTCTATTAATATTTAATATAATCTTAATAACATCGCAATAAACATGTTAAAGCAATGTTTGTTGAATTGTAATGAACACGAGTTGGCATAATTATTTTGACGTTACATGAAATCGTCAAATAACGGTGCGAAAATTAAGCTCAAAACAAAGAATCTACTTTTAGCTATGTGCATGCCAAATTTTATTTTGTTTAACTTTTGCATCCTCTTTCTGCTGATAAGAATGCTTGCAGACAACAGCTTTTCGTGTAGCACAAGAATTTCGAGAGCATCTTTATGGAAATATTTTCACACTTTTAAGCATGCAAAAAACTTCTGTGTTTAACCTTAATCAATATTAAACGTTGTTATGGGTAAAACGGCTGAGCTAAGTTTGGTTACCAGATCTTCAATGGTAGCAAAGTTTAATGCTGGAAAAGCAGTCAAAGACATTGCCAATGAGTTTAATGTGTCGCGTCAAACTGTGCACTACCAAATTCAAAAGTTTAAAAAGCATAACGACATGCGTAAATTAAGAAAATCAGAAGATCTAAACGCAAAACAGAGATCAATGAAGACCGAGTCCTTGTACGAGAATTATATAAAAAAGTTTTTCTAAAGCCTCAGTCAGCAGCAGATCAATTTAATTTGACGGCTAAGACCCTAATGATCGTCGATTAAGATAATGTGGTTCTAAGACTTATAAAGCCAAGGAAGTACCATACATAACAAAAGCAAACTAGCTTAAAAGACTGTCTCGCAAAGGAACATCTTCATTAGCCAAGTTAGTTCTGGAGGAGCGTTCTATGGATAGATAAAAGCTCCTTTGAATATAATTAATCAAAAATTAAATTTTTTGTAAGATTACCAAAGGTACAAAGGCAGAAAATACGGCCCGTTTGCCAAAAATTAAGTCATGGTGGTGGCTCTGTGATGTTCTGGGGATGTGTGCCGCAGAATAGAGTGGGTGACTTCGTTCCTGTCACTGGCTCGATAAACCAAGACCTTAGCTGGTTCTAAATGATAAAGAATTTACTTCTGGAGACATTGGACAATCCTCCATTCTGCAACTGGATAACGCCCCATGCCGTAAACCACGATGATTACAACAGTTTTAAGGATGTTGGTGTTACCACTTTGGACTGCCCAAACAAAACCAGGGAGAAGACAATTTCTAAGATCACTTCCCTTTGGGAAGATGTATCTCCCGAGATCATCCAAAATGTAATATTTTCAGTACCGCGACGACTGCAAAAAGTTATTGAAACTAAAGGAAATTATATATTTTACTAAATTCATTTCTTTACTTTTTTAAGTTTAAACTTTTGTATTCATATAAAAAAGTACTTGTCAAAATAGTTATGCCATCACATAAAAATTACTCTAGCTTATATTTTTTCAAGTTCATAAGACAAAATGTTGAATTCATTATTTTTAAGTTTGTACAAGCACTAAGTAAAACTGAAAAAAATCATTGATTTATATTAAAAACATTTGTTTTTTGTCAAAATAATTTAATATCTGACAACAATATTTTAAATATATTTAAGTAGCTTATATTTAAAATCTCGTTTTAGTGCATTAATATGTTATTTTCTCAAATTACTTACCAGGTAGTTGTCTTAACATCCGTAACGATAACTTAATTGAAGATCCATCCATTTTTAAGATCTATTTAGTGAGTAGTCATTAAATAGATAGAGCAATAACAATATGTTATCATGTCTCCAACGAACATAAGTTTTCGAATTAACGCGAAAAAGCGACATTCTTCGGAAACAGGTAAATATATTTAGAATTTAATATAAGAGTTTTTCAAATATTTCAAATCTTTAACATATTTAATTTTTATTGTAGGACCGAAAAGAAAGTTAAGCAATGCATTTACAAAAGAAGTAGAAAAACAGGAAAAAGTGCAAGAAGTAGCTCTTCTCCCGACAGTATTAACTAACGATAAATATCGATTTAATAACGATAAATATAATATACATACTTCTATCGTGACACGAAAAATGTTTCGCCATCAAACTGCCCTCTTGTTATTTATGCTTTCAATCGCCACTTGCCAAATTTCTTTAACACAAACCTTGTTCTTGGACGACATAAACAATAATAAAACAATATCACAAGCAAAATCTAATAACGGGCAAGGTAGAGTCAACAATAGCACTGGAGGTAGTAATAATATGATATCTGCTGGTAACCCCAATTCTCCAATCGGTGAAAAAGATTATTTGGAAAAGCTAAATAATTTTGAGCGTAGCGTTGCGGCCGTTTTAATTAAAGTTGCTTATGGCACAACATCAACCACTAAAAGAAGTATACCAGACTCCAGCTATTCATTGGGTTTAACTACAGTTGCAACACCATTTCTCACAACGCAAAGGTAAGCACTATAATATTTTGAACATAAATTTATATCCTTTATATTTTATTAATTTCTTATGATCAAATTTCAATCCGCAAGGGTGTAGAAAGTTTGGTGTGCAGAAGTTATCTTCCTTTTTATTTATTTTGTATCTTTTTTTCTAAATATATTGGTGCCATAAATAATCGAGAAAATAGATTTTTGAAAAGGTATATATTTATATTTTTAGGTATCCTTTATCAATACATCATCAACAGCCAGGTGTCAGTCATCAAAAGAACTATGAATTCGATTTGGAAAGAGATCATGCCCTGCCCACGTCAGCCCCTAATGCTGATATCTTGAAGAGTAATAATAATCCAACATATCCCAATCCAAATCGTCATTCGTCACATGCACAACATGAAAGGGATCGCCATAGACAGCACTATAATTCAACACCAAATCCAGCCAGTAAGTTATTATTATTAAAAGAAATATAATAATTTAAATCTCTATAAATTCTTTTCAGTTCCCAATCTATTTAACAAAAAAGCAAACAACGGAGGAGGTCATGCTCATCCGCCAACCATACCGATGTATCCCGGGGATCATATACCATCTTACTCGCCACCATCGCGATCTTTTTTCACGCCACCGCTACCGCCGGAATACCAGAATCCCTTCGCTGATAAACCCACTCTAAGAGGGACAAATAATGAGGGTTTAATTGGTATTAATAGGAGGCCCATACCACCGCCCAGCCTTATGCCCAGTCAGGATAGGATACCCATAAGACCACCGGAATTGGGAGGTAACAACGATGATAATCCCCAGCTGAATTTAGATACAAATAATCCATTAATAGAGTCAAGTAGTTCGCATAATACCGACGATAATGTTACTACAATGGACCGGAAAAAAACCTTGAATACGCCAGCGCGTCAGCACGAGCAGTTTTTGAATGAAAAGAAGTCTGTTACCACCTCGAAAAATTCCCAAGAACAGGATCAGATAGGGGATCATGATCCCATTATTAAGAAAAGTCAGGAAGTCTTGCCCAATATACGAAGGATCCTGGGTTCCAATGGTAAAAATGGCGATATTCCCGCTGTTCTTCTAAAGCAAGTGACTCAAACCCCCAATATCATAAGCATACGAAATCCACCTTCCTCACCCATAGTTTTGATAGAAAAGCAGGGACAGGGAACAAATCAGGAGGAAAATTTAGAAGATGGTTCTGCGTCTGTGATGAGTTCGAATATAAATCAAAGTAAATTAGATTATTATGATAATGCTAATCAAAGTCAGACCACACCATCGGCTGCGGCAGCCATTGGTGATGTTATCTCTGCCACATCGTCCTTGTCCTATGCCACCACCAATTCCGCTGTGAAGACCACAGTGGGAAAGGATCTAGGGGCCATGCCGAATCTGGGCGACCGTGACAAGGCACACACTACCTGGTCGTGGGCTTGGAATATACACATCTATCTCTCCGTTGTACTCTTTACCATTCTCTCAGTTTATTCCCTGTACAAACTCTTGACTTTTAACAAATTGGCACACTTGTTTGCCCAGTCATACTTTATTTGCATACATATTATATTGATTATAATCTGTGCCATGCGTATATTTTTCCTATGCTTTGATGCCTATAATGTGCATGGTTCGTTCAATATTTTTGCAGCCGAGTTGCTGTTGAACCTTCCCTCTACATTCCTTACTGTAGCCTTTTCGGTTTTAATTTTGTTTTTATTTCTTAAATCGCTAAATCACAAAAATAATCGCTATTCAGCTTTGATAAGGCCTCTGACAGTGGTTGTGGGTTGTGGCGTGCACGTTGTTCTTTGTGTAACTCTGCACTATGTTGAGTCTTATACGTTAAAGAATCATTTACTATATTATCAACAGCAACAGCAACAGCTTTTATTTCGCAGACAGCTGCATTTTCAAGGAGGAGGCGGTGCCAGCTTGACGCCACCTTCATCGGCTGCTATTCTACCACCGCCACCGAGGGTCTTGACACTGATTTGCCAAATTATATACATATTTATTTGCTTAAGTTTGGGCCTACTCTACTTATATCTATATCGCATTTTGAAAAAAATTTTGCGTAGTAAATCACAGAATTATATTCATGGCTATCAAAACTTGTCGTATGCCATACACATAACCATAGCCACAGCTTTGCTATTCGTCTTAATGGCTGTTCTACAGATTTTTGGCGCGATATGTATTGCCACGTCACCGCGGCAAATGAATATCATAGACGTCGATTGGTTACAATGGGGTTATCAGTTTTCCCTACGTTTAATAGAAATTGCCATTATAACGTTGATAACATGGGTAACTGGCCTAAAGACTAGTATCGGTGGTAATGATTCAGCAGCAAATACTGCTGGAAATGTGGGCACGAATGATGTACGTATGGTGAGTTGTACATCAACGAGAGACAAGCATGTTGTTGGAAATGTTGCGGGAGTTTCGAATTTCTTTTTACCCTGCACTTCGAGCTCGAGTCAAGAGGTCTTTGAGACCGATTATCCCACCATATGCAATGCCAATACGAACTTGCACACGTACACCATGAGAACGGGGAAATTGATCTACGATGACAGTTATGCCTTGAATCCAATGGGTGCTGCGGTATCTTCGTCCACTAATCCGGGTAACAATGGACGTTCCTTTGAGTACCAACTGCAGGAACCCATGTATCAAAGGCCATACGATACGGGCTCTATGAATAGTCAAAATATTACAGAATATCATCATGGCCATGCTCAGATTCAGAACTATCATAATAAGCCCCATAATATGCGTTATACGAATGATACGGTAACTGATCACTATGAGAATCCGAACTTTAATTTAAAAATCAAGACAGTTTAGAAAGAAATACTACGGAAACTTGTTATTCGGAGCCCTTGGAGCATGGGAACAATAAGAGATTTGAGTTTAATATATTCGAGAGACCGGTATATAAGGAAAAGACATTGAATACCAAGGATGCGAATAATATGGATAGTTTTCAGGATCGTAAGATGGGAAATGGGAGGAAATTAAATGGCGGAACTCAAGAACGTAATTATTTTGATAATACAAATACCAATTCAAATCATAATCATCATACTGACCGACGTAGCTCCAACTCTACAAGTAACTCTGGTTCTTCTTCCCATGGGGTTAATGTTCGCTATCCCAGCTATAACTCTTATGAGCGGTGTTTCGTTACTGGCGTAAGGAAAAGCGGAACCTTGAGTCAAATTGGAGTTCCCTTAGAACGTGGTGCGGAACCATCAATGGTATCAGGAACCCATCATCGCGTGATATCCAATGGAGCTCAAACCTTGGGAGATAGAGCCGCTCATTATTACCAGAGAGGAGGGACAGTAAAAGGACGTAACACTCAGCTCAGATCAGGTACTACTACTGATCTAATAAAAAGTATACCTATTAGAGAACGTCAACTCCCCTATGATCATCATAATTCCAATGAGGAAGACGATGATGAAGAAGAGGAGGATATAATATCTGACAATAATGTCGAGTGCACCAACTTAATAAATAATGATGGCATCACCACGTTGACCAATCGAGAGGATTGTGCTACAAATTCCACAATTAATGATAAATCCGTGGCAGTGTCTTCTTCAGGAGCTAAGAATAATAAAATCGATCCGTTATTGCATTTGAATACAAATAATGGTAAACTTCGCACTGCCTCATCAGTATCGGTAGCTTCCGCTTCATCCAATTCCTGTACGACAACGTCAAGTGCTTCGGATAGTATGCTAGTGGCAGATCAAGGCTTCTTAAGATTTCGTTCAGCAGAAGATCAGCTTAGTATAACCCCCAATGGATCATCGTCCCAAGTAGTGGTAGACCCCTCCTCCGGATCTTTCTCTTTTTGTCCTCAAGGTTGCAGTGTGACAGAGAAGGTTATCGATTGCTAAAAGATAAATCACCATATATATATTACATCCGAAATATAGTTTAGCGCTTTTGCAAAAATTTTCTTGCAGATTTGAAAATCAATTGAAATAGGAATGACAGGTAAAATCGATATTTTAACGTTGTGTTAAATTTATTTTCATTGGGACATTATAATCGAACAAAAATACCAATCAAATACAATTTTTGATTATCTCGATACTTTAACTTTAATTGCAATATTGTTCAATATTTAAAAATTCGATATGTTGGCGATGTTCTCAATATGAGTACGATATTTTCGTATTATCATTATCTCTAGGTATCCCTAAAAGGAAAACTTTTAGAATACTTTAAGAATTATAAGATGGAAAAATAAGTGGATTTCAAACAATGAATTTATTGCACTCTGACATGTTCAATTGATTTCGAATCTGTAGAAATTTTTGAAATGGCAAAAAAGTATATAAAATCGCAGTTAGTTTCCATGCCCCAATTATGCCAATACAAAATAGTAGTTAAAAATCATCACTATACTTCTTAACTATCTTCAAACTTGTGATATACAGATATAAACAAAAGAAAAAAATATATATATAAATATATATAAACTAGCGAGCAAGGCAAAAAGAAAAGATTATTACGAACAATTTTCATTACATATTTAAATCATTTTTATCTTTATGTTCACACCATTAAATTAGGCGAGTATATTTATTTTTAAACAAGATTTTTATATTCAGAGTTAATACCCCTTTGATTTTACGGAAATATTTTTTTTTTATTTTTCGCTATTATCGATATTCCATATTTAGAATTTCGATATTCAATATTTCGAATTTTTAGCGCGATATTTTTTATCGACTTAAAAACGTGTTTCCGATATTTTTGATAGTATTGAAAACTTAACGTTAAATGCTATATTTCAAAAACATAGAAATTTTAAACTACTATATGGAACGCGAATATTTTATTGATTGATATAAAACTATACATACCTATGTATTGTCTCCTTTAAACACCCATTTATTTACTTGCTAAATATGTATATAACAAATTGCAAGAGTACTTGGTAAAATCATGGATCATATGTTAAAGTCTAAAATTAAAAAAAAACTTCCGTTGTACATATACAATTTTATCTTTAACGTTTCTCTTAAGCTTGAATATCAATAAAAAATAAACGTTTGTAGGAAACACAAAAAATGTAAAATAACAAACCGCAATTTTGTATTATTTCGCTATATTTAAAACTGAAACACAATAATTAATAAATTCAATTAAACGGCAAGATCAAGCGAAAATAACTTCGTTTCGTTTTCAATATAAGCATAAAAAATATTACAAACCACACACACAAATGAATGTCAACTACAAAAATAAGATAGAAAAAGACTCAATATAATAATTCTATAATATACGATTTCTGTAAAATGATTCGAGATATCGAATTTATAAATATAAATGCTTTTAATAATTTAATTAATAAAACTCTAGCCTGTTAAATAAATAACAAACGCGTTTATTACCCAAATAGTACTGATTAGTTAAGGGCTTTTTGCATTTTCTATTGTTAAAAACTGATAAATAAACTAAATATATATTAATAAAAAGAAAAATACTTAATACTGATTTAAAATAAAAATAAAAAGCATTACCTTACTAGGGTTAATAGTTGGTAATATCTTTGTATGAAGCACTCTAAAAAAAGCCATAAAATATCTATTTGTCGAAAATGCCACAGAAATTGCTTGTAGGTTTAGAAATCCATTTTAAAGGTATTTAAGAATGAATTTGAATTTAAAATAATTTATATTGTAAATGTGATCTTGAGTCTGCTTAGCTATTTCTGTGGCCATCGTGTTTATTTAAAAGTAATATAAGACATATATATTGTTATATGTATATATATACTAAATCGTTCACATGAAAAAATGGAAAATGAACTCAAAAACAATCAACCAGAAATATTTCCGAATTAGACACGTATTTATATCCCTTACTTTGTACACATTAATTAACAAAAAATCAACTTATAATTCGTATTCTTAAATGTAATTAAATTTAAATTATAATAAATCTTAGCCAAGCGACAAAATAAATATGTATAAAAATACCATTTAAATATTTAACATAGTTTTATAAATACTTTCTGCTAAATTTGAGAAGACTGAATCATTTTTTATGCGGGTAAGTGTAATCGAACTAAAATACCTACGGTAAAAATAACGAATACACATTCAACTCAAAAAACTTTTCACATACAATTTTTGTGATAAGTAGTATATAATACTATAACGGGCTTTCGAGGAGCTTCCTGGAAGAAAGTTATGCTAAAATTAGCAACACGCGGCCTGACTTTAGAATAAGGTTAGTCCACGCCAGGGAGATTCCGAGACGTCCCACAGCTCGCATCTGGGCCAAGTATTCCTCCTGCTTAAAAATCACCCTTGCCTGTCGCAAGTAGAGACAAAGAAATACAAAATCCAGTACGGCATTCAGGAAGGCAAAAGGTTAGAAAGTGGATGACACGACCAAGTTGTTCGTAGTGCAAATTAACTTGAGGTGCAGCTCGATCGCTTCAGGTAATTTGTTGATCCTTCTCGAAGGTAGGACGAATTAATTGAAACCTTTTCTCCGTTCTAATTTTAGTATTTAGGATGTAACAGTTTAACAGATTAGTAACAGCGGATGAGACTAAGTTTTAATTTCCCAAGCATACATGACTCATGACGATCCGGATGCATCAGAACCGGTAGTCAAACTGATGGATACGTCGAAGATACGAAGACGACCCTGGTGATCGGGTGAGACACGAATGTGGGGCATACGCTCTAGGGAATTACGGAGACCAATGACACAGGTGAGTGCTTGATCTCATCTTACGCGTAGAACGTAGTCATTTTCAGATCACAAGTATGTATATATATATATAGTATGTTTTTTAAGTTATAGGTACGGAGTGTCGACCGATTCCAAAGCGTAGCCCACCCGAGACATTCTGGGGCAAATTTGGCAAAAGTTTCAACTCAAACGTAAGGAACAGAGGGATTTGGGTATTTTGGTATAAACCTTACCAAAGGCAGTCGAAAAGGAAGTAGAGAACATCACTAACATACTGAACAACGCCTTTAAAGTATCATTTCTTAAACAGCAACATCCCCCATGGTGGACCAAGGGACAAAAATGCTCTAGGGGCATTAGCAGCCTCAGTCCGCCAGCCCATTAGCTGTTCAGCACCGTAAAGCAAAAGAGAAAGAGCAGCGCAGTTGCTGGCAAATCTGTGAGGTCATTGCTTTGTTTTTTTGAGTTGGTGTTGTTAGTCAGAGCCAAGTGCAAAACAAAAACCGTCAATCAGCTGTTTGCTCATTCGAGGTCGGTGATCGCGCTGCAGCGAAAGAGAAGAGTTTTGCATGAGAAATTGTTAAGGCAGGTCGGAAAGCAAATGAAAGGATCAGCTGTTTGATTGATTTAGCTCGTTTCGTTGTTTAGCCGTCAGATACTTAGGTTTTAAGGCTTAGGTAGCAATTTGGCGTTTTACAGAGAATTTACAGATGTAAATCTTTGATGTTGGGGCCGAGGCAGTTTTGTTTTGTGCAAAAACTCTTTACCCACTTTGTTTAAAATAAAGTGCTGTAAGGATAAAAATCACGGCCCGGGGTATAAACAAAGCCGGCCCAGGATCCTCCACAGAAATATTTTTATTTACGGGGACAGGCAGGATTTCGGGCCCTAGAGGCGAGGAGGGAAGGAGTATAGGGGAAAGGGGGATGCTCCGCACCGGCTTCCCGCCGGTTCAGGGTCGGCTCGTCACCCGGATACCTACGCTTGCCCCACCGGTGGCCATTTGCGGGTCGGCTTCGGTCCACGCCTCGTCAACCGGCGGCGTGTTCCTCGGCCAGGGAGGGAGGACTCGCTTGGGTTGAGGTTGGGCCGGCCCCGGTGCCGGGTGCCTGCGTCTCCGACCTCCGACCCCCCCAGGACTCGCCTGGGTGGGAGGACACTTCCGGGCATAGGCATGGCGACCACGTCACCCGTGCGCCGCCCGATACGCCCGGAGAGGAACCCTGTTTGGTCGCGGCCCCGTCAACCGTGGGTTGCTTCCTCACAATTGTCTGGGATGACTCGTTCGGCCACGGCGGTCACGGCCCCGTCAACCGTGAACCGTGCCCGCCTTGGCCGCCAAGCTGGGTGGTAGGATAGGGGAGGAAGGGTACCCTAATTGGACAAACACCGTAGTAGCGCTCACAAATAATTGTTTATTGTCTAAGGTTCCTACCGAAAGCTACCCCAACCTCTTCCTCGCACATGAGCCCCGCTACGGGGATCGGCGCCAAGGCCCAGCTCACACGCTCCTCGTGGTTTTTCATGGGGCCGCCTATTCACGGTGGCGGACGCCATGGGTGGTGTCGTTGTTTTCATCGCTGGCCGCGTAGGTGTCCTGAGCCTGGCCCGGGACCTGGCTCCTCGCGGTGACGGCTCCAGGCGCCGTGGCAGCCCTCCTGGCCGCGGGGAGCTCATCTCCCGATGGCCCGTCTGCCCTCCTGGGCTGTTGAAAACCGACCCCTCGATCGGTGGGCAGGGTGGCCTTCGGCCGCCCTCCTCTGACGCCGATCTCTCTGCTGATCGTCGTGGTCGTCGGCGATCGGCTTCGCTGTCGGCAAGCGGGTTTTGCCGAAGCTCCTCGTTGTGATCCTGTTGTGATCGTTTGTGCTCGGCAGTGTTCTGTTTTGCCAAGGGTGCGACTGTACTCGGCGCTGCTCGGATGTGTGTGGCTCCGTCGTGTGTGTGGCCCTGCCGTGTGTGTGGCCCTGCCGTGTGTGTATTGAATCCGGTGGGGTGTTGCTCCTATTCTTGTCCCTCCTGCTACTCTTACTAGTATTCTTACTACTATTCCTAACGCTACTCCTACGGCTAATCTTACTACTATTCCTTAAACTATTCTAATTACTATTCTACTACTGCTGATTTTACTACTATCTTTACATTGTGCCCTCCTTGGGTCTTCTAATGTCTGGTTTTCCTATCTCATTCCAACTATATACCAAACTACATCTACAAATATTTACATAAGTATATGGGGAACCATTGTACTCGGTAGCGGTTTACGCCTTACTCGAC